GATCCGTCCTGAAAGCCTGGGAAGACACCAGGAAAGCAGCCTCAGGGGCAGGCCCGGAAATGGGCCGGGGCGAGGCCTGGCCCTCAGGCTGCTCTTCGCTCCCCACCTCCCACCCCCAGCTCCGGAGCGGGGAGAGGATCAAGCTCATTCCCCTGCTCTGCATCATCTGCACCTCGGTGGTCTGGGGCTTCGCACTCTTCTTCTTCTTCCAGGGGCTCAGCACCTGGCAGGTGGGTAGTTGTCCTGCCAAAGGGGTGGGGGAGTTGCCCACAGGCTCATCATGAGCCAACAACTGGTCAATTCTCTTCTTGAACATCGTTTGTGAGCACCTACCATGGGCCAGCCCTTTCACAGCTGCTTTCTGATTGAATCCTCCTAACGTTCAACATGCCCACATGGAGGTATCCCCATTTCATTTATGAGGCAGCTGAGGCTCAGGGAGGTCAAGTGACCTGCCCAAGGCCACACAGCCAGTGAGTGGCACAGCTGGGGTTTGAAGCCAGAGATGTCGGGCTCTATCCTCTGCCTCATAGGGCACCTACCATGGAATTCTGTGATCACAACTAAGTCTGTCATGGTCTCTGCCTTTGAGGTACTTATAATCTATTTCAGGAGAGAGACTGTTAGTTCCTGGCTTGCTGTTTACAATATAATACACGAGATGAAGGGTATAGGCAAGACGGGCAGAGGGCATGTACAGGAGGGCAGAGGACAGAGAGGCCTCTGTGAGTTAGGAGGTCCAGGAAAGCTTCCTGGAGGAGGCAGGCCTGGCTCTTGGTCTTAAAGGCCCTGGGTCATCACCCAGGAAGAGCCCTGTGGCCCAGAGATGCTGTGAGCTGAGTACCGATACAGAGGCAGAACCAGATGGGGCAGATTTGGGGATCAGCGAATGTAGTGAGTGGAGCCAAGTGATGACTGTGAGCTCTTTGCGGGCAGGGCAGGTCTTTCTTGGTCATCTCTGTGGCGTCAGCATGTGGCACAGAGAGCTCCCAGACATGGTGTGATGTTTAGCCAGTGTTGGATGGAGGTTATGGGTGGAGCGTGGGGGACCTTGAGTGGCTCGGGTCATGGCCCGCGTCGTCCTTGGGCTGGGGTGTGTGACCTGACAATAGTGCTTTGCAGCAAAAATGGGCCTGGAGGAGCCATGGAGGACTGATTAGGGCAGGACACAGAGTCCAAGGCAGGGAACTGAGTTAGGAGGTTTGTGGCCTTCTAGCTTCTCAAGGTAATCACAACCCTCTGTTCTTAGATCAAGAAGGAGAATGTAAGGGGAGGAGGGTGAGAGTGGGAGGAAGGGAAAGGGCAGAAGCGAGCGTCATCAGGGAGACGTCTGTAAGGAAAGGCCAGCTCTCAGATGTGGGAGACGAGGGCGAGGAACGAGTCAGGAGGGTGCTCTCCTTCCAGGCTGGGAACAGGGAGTGCCCTGGAGGGAGACGGGAGGGGTCAGGCCCAGCCTCGAAGGGCAGTATCAGCAGGCAGCTCTCCCTGTTCCTCCCCAGAAAACCCCCGCCGAGTCGCGGGAGCACAACCGAGACTGCATCCTCCTTGACTTCTTTGACGACCATGACATCTGGCACTTCCTCTCCTCCATTGCCATGTTTGGGTCATTCCTGGTACGTGAGACTTTTCTGGCCTGAGCCGGGAGGGTGGAGTAGGAGTGGAGGACCCCTCCTTTCCTGTACGTGACTCAGCGTCCACCCCCCAGGTGTTGCTGACACTGGACGACGACCTGGACACGGTGCAGCGGGACAAGATCTATGTCTTTTAGGGGGAGCTGGGCCCCTTGCTTTACTCACGGGGCCTTGAGTGCCTCGGCCTCACTGCCCAGAGCCTCTGTAGCTCAGGGGTGTGAGTCCCAGCCCTGCTGCCCAGTGCTGGGTGGCGGCAGGACAGCGAGGTCTAGCCCGGGCTTGGCCCAGCACAGTCATGGGGGTGGCCTTGAGCCTCGCAGCTGCCCCCTGCCGGGGAGGAGGCCTGCTCCCCTGAAACCCCAGACGTTGGCCAAATTGCTGCTTTCTTCTCAGTGTTCGGGCCTTCCACGGTCCCCTGTCCGTTGGCTCTCCATTTGTCCCTCTGCAGGAGGAAGGAGGGAAGTGTTGCCCTGCGCATCTCACGCCTTGCATTCTGCCGGTCCTTCCCCTCCCCACCGGCCTGGGACCCAAAGCCCTTTCTGCCTCCCATGCTCCCCCCCACCCACCCCCAGGGCCCTGATCTGGGCCCTGAGTCTCTGTCCTGCACTAGGAGCCCCACTTCTCTTTGGGCCTGTACCTGGCTGCCATCACTGCCTACTCCGGTCAGCCAGGATGGATGGGGGTGTAGGATTTTGGGCTCTGGCCAGCTGGTGCCAGGCTTTTGGTGCTAAGGCCTGCGAGGGGCCCTGGCTGGCTCTTTAGCAATGAGAGTCAGCCCACATGTGAGAACCGCCTTTGATCTGAGGGGTTGAATTCAGAGGTCACTTTCCTATCCCATCAGCCCCCAGACTGATGCTGGCACCAGGATTGGAGGGAAGAAGCAACTCATCCCTTTCCTTCCTTTTTCTTTCCAGGCTCTTACTCCTGCCAAGCCCCAGCTGGGGGCCTTTCAGTGCCATTGACACTGCCCAGGAATGTCCAGGGACAAAGGAGGGCGGATACAAAGGGCCCAGCCCATCCCACCTCCTCCATAGCCATGGGAGCCCCAGTGCCTATCTTAGAAAGGGGCTCAAGAAAGGGACATATTTCCCTCTGTGTCTCCGGTCCCAGCCTCACTCTAGGACCCAGGGCTGGCTCTTAAGTTTCCGTCCAGTCTTCAGCCAAGTTCTGTTAGTCACACACATGCATATATGTGAAACCTTGGGGATGACACGAGGTTGCCCAGCTCTGGGCGCCCTGGCTGCTCTGGTCCCTGGCTCCCCTTTGTCCTACCTGGTTCACTCCAGCTGCCAAGGTTGGGGGAGGCCAGTCGGGCCTCGGCCTCAGGATGGGAATGTGTTTTATTCTCTCCACCTTGTTTTTATGGCTCTCCCTTGGGCTGGGAGAGGAGGTGGTTCTGGATTTTTTTTTCAGAGCTCCGTGTAATGTCTGTTTCCATGCTATGGTTGCATTTCTGTTTACTATGAATGAGTCTGCATTCAATTAAAGAAACAACCAGACGCAGTTCCTGGGCCCCTGTTTGCTCCCCCTTTCTGGGTGGAGATGTTGGGAATGAGGGCTGGGGCAGGGGTACTCCGTTTTCTAGTTCTTCTGGTCTACCTTTCTCTTTTCCGAGCCTGTCATATCGGGAACAACAGTTCCTTGATTCCTCCATGTTTTTCCTCTCCTTGGGCAGTGGCATCAATTCAGTAACCATCTACCAGGGCCTGCTCAGTGCCAGGCACTGTGCCAGGCGGGGAGGATAGTGTGAAAAAGCCTTAGCTGTGCCATCTCACCTCTGAGATCCCCCCTTACCTGGCAAATGAGTGGCCTTTTGCTCACCTGGTCCCCACCCACCAGACAGGCCAGCTTCACTTTGGACCTGAGCCTCCCCCGGCTCAGCAGGCTCCAGGCGCGGGCGGTGCTCCCTGACATGGGTTTAATGGACGAGCATGCAGGCTGAGGCCGGAGTGGTGCTTGGGGAACTCAAGATGGTGATGGATGGTGCGCGAGTGGGCGCATGGATGACAGGCAGCCTCCAAGAGGAGGGAGTTTTGAAATGGCCCTGGAAGGTTGATTTAGATTTCAGCAGCCTAAGGAGGCCAAGATTTGGGGGGGCAAGGAAGCTAGTGCATTCAGGACAGAACCAAAGGTCTGTGGGCTGCTCTTAGCTGATCCCCAGCTCCTCTCCCTGCTCTTCCCCGCATGCGCCACTGGGGGGCACTATAGCTCTATGTGCCGGTAGGCTCTGGAGGTAGGCGGCTGTCTGTGGTGTGCTCGCACCTCCCCTGACTGCCGTGCCTGGCCGCCCCTCTCTTGGTAGTGCTGGGTGTGTGCGTGTTGAGTGTGTGGTGCAGTGTTAGCTCCTTCCTGCCAGGTTGCCCTAGGATTGGTGTGGGGGGGGGCGGGGTGCCACAGCGGGCAGCTCAGAGACACCACTGGAAGTCTCTCACCTTCTTAACCTCCTATCCCTTCCTGAGACTGCTGAAGCCAGGTACAAGCAAGACACAAGTGGGACTCCTTCACCACTGGGTGATGGAGTCCAGTCTGTTTTCCAGGATGGGGAGGGAGGGATGACAGCAGCCTCTGAGCCTCCTACCCCAGTGTTGGTGTCTCAGGCCCTGCCAGACCTTAGAGACTCTCTTACCGTCACTGCCCTCTGAGTGAGGGCCAGGGTGAACCCTCAAATCCCACCTCCCGCTAACGCTTATAACTCAAGACCCACCCCAACTGAAAGCTCTCCTCAACCTGAGCAGGGTGGTACCACTGAAAGAGTGGGTGGGGTCGGCAGGGATGCCCAGGTTCTGCCACTCACCACTCACCATGTGGTCTTGGGTAAGATGCACTCTGAGCCTCAGTTTCCTCATCTGTAAAATGGGGGTAGTAAGTATGCTCTCACGGTATAGCTGAGTATAAAATGAGAGCATTTGTGAAGTGCCTGGTGTGCAGTGGGTCCCCAGGAAAGGTTAGTTCCTATCTCCAGCTAGAGCCAAATCTCCCAAAGGAGAGGGTGGCTGGTTAGTCCCCACAAACCTCGGGAGTGGCATCCCCCTCATCCCTTTCCTCTCTCTCTGGCTAGACCCTCTTGAATTCTCCCTCCCTTCAAACTTGAAGGCAGGGAACAGTGAAGGAGGAGCAGCCCCAAGTCCAGACAGCAGGGAGAGCCTCATGGTCCTGCCCATAAAAGGCTTTTCCCGCCGGGTCCCGCTGGGTCTTGCCGGCAGCGCGGCCCCGCCCCCGCCCGCTCCATCTCCAAAGCACGCAGAGAATGTCTCGGGCAGCCCCCGGCAGACTGCTCCAACTTGGTGTCTTTCCCCAAATATGGAGCCTGTGTGGAGTCACTGGGGGGGCTGGGGGTGGGGAACAGGAGCCGGTTTCCTCCAGCAGGGAGGGGACCGAGCGGTGAGCCAGCGGGGGAGGCTGACATCACCAAGGCAGAAGCCCTTTAAACCCCTCACCCAGCCAGCGCCCCATCCTGTCTGTCCAAGTCCAGACAGAGAGCGCTCACTCCTTCCAGCGAGTCCTGAGGAGCCCCTGTAAGTGCATTTGTCCTGAGGTTGGAGGGAAGTGGGCTGGGGCTTGACAGTAGCAGTGGGTGTATTGCAGGCAAGCCTCCAGGGAGGTCCTGATCCCCAGCCCCCCAGCTGGGGAAGCCCATCCTCTCGGTCAGCTTGCATTCCCCATCTCCAAATGGGGAGGGGGTGCTAGCTTGATGGGTGGGATGGGCTTGCTAGAGCACCCTTTGGCTCAGACTGGGTGGCACTGGGCTCATTGAAATGCGCAGGGTGACTTGGCAGGTGCAGAGGGGTTGATAGTGGAAACCTGGGAACTGGGGTGAGAGGGGCACTCCCCATTTTCAGCCACAGTCACATCCACTGGGTGTGTGTGAGGCTCAAGGTGTTGCCGGGTTAGACCCAAGGCTCTGTCGTCTGTTGTCCATCTAGGAGGACGTCCAGGGAGGTGAGGAGGTGTGGAGGTGTGTGGGTACACTAATGCTGGAGAGCAGTGTCCCACTGGTGGGTGCCCAGGGCCTGAGCAGCACCAGGAGAGCCCCTGGGTAGCCACTGAGGGGGTGTGAGGGAGTCACAAAACTCATAATCTGGACCAGGCTGGGGTGGCAGGGTACAGGGACAGGTGAGAGAGCTGCTTTTCCAGGCACACAGCTCCTTCCATGCTCTGAGAGTTGGGGGGGGCCACCCCCACTACAGGCAGAGGCGGTGTGGGTGGGCACCAGGAAGGAGTTTTGGAGTGATGGCCTGGGGGCTCTGACAGGGCCGGGCAGGCCTGGGACCCTGGGCCCTTCCGGAAGGGTGTGGCTGGTTCCCCTCAGTGGTTGCTATTCAAAAGGTAGCAGTGAGCAGGGCTGCTCTTCTGTGTCCCCAAGTTTAGATGAGCTGCCTCTCTTGCCATCTCAGAGATCCACATGGGCTCACTCCTATTTGCTGCGTTTTATTTTGAAGAGGGGGCACAGCAGTCCTGGAGAGACCACTGGTTCTGCTGGGTTTTCGGGGTTCTGCTGGTGGGAGGTGCCCCTGCTCTTTTGCAGCTGGACTTCATTCTGTTTTCTGGGCTCAGCATCACCCACTGGGCCACTCTGGAGGGGAGGCTGACGGGAGCCACAGGACAGGAGGGCCAAAGCAGAGCCTTAGGCTGTCCTGTCCATCCTGGCCCAGAAGGCTTTGTCTATAAATGCCCCCCAAGGGGGCTGCCCTGTGGCCGTCTCCCTCTCCCTCTCCCCAGGTGGGACTGTGGAGGTCTTTGTCAGAGGACTGAGGGATTTCTTGGAACTCTCCCCTTTCAGACTCTTCACCAGACAGGAGAAGGATGGGGGTGGGGGTTGGGGGCATTTCATTCCCCTCCCTTGTTCTGACCAAAATCCAAGTGTTTCTAGACCTAGGGGCTGCAACTTTGTGTACTTGTCACCGTGCGCCTCGACACCTTGACTGTTCGGAATCTCCTGAGACTGAAAGCGGGGTGTGGGGGGTGTGGGGGACACACACTCTGCTCCCATCCTGTTCCTCACACACCCACACATGGTCTGGGAGGGCCGGCGGGGTGGGGGAGTACAAGGAGGGCGGGGCACAGATGTGGTGGGTGCCTGGACCGCAGGGATGCCTGCTGCCTGCCTGCAATGATGGGTGGCAGCCAGGATGAGGGGTTGGCTGAGATCACCTGGTCCCAGCTGACTTGTGGGTTTTGGCCACAGCTTGTTGCCCAGGAGGCCGTGGGTGGCTGGGAGGCAAGGGTGAGACCCAAAGCAGGGTGCGGAAGAGAGGCTCTCGGCTGTTTGAGGTTGAACAGAGCCGAGCACCCTGCCTTTGGGTTCCCTGGCGTCACTGGCTGGGAGAGGGTGGTGGTGCTGAACACCACGTCCTCAGAGGCGGCCCAGCCCTCACCTACAAATAAGGAAACTGACGCAGAGAGAGGTGAGTTGCCCAGTGGCTGGAGTTTAGATGAGTCCATCTTGTGTTCTTTCTCTCCAACTTTGCTGTGCCCTCACTCAGTGAATGAATTTGAAAAGCTGTGGAGGCTGGAGTGGGAAGGACACTTACTATTTTTACCCCTCAGTCTGGGTCTGGCTCTCCTAGGTCACTACCAGGAGAGCGGCACTAGGGGGCAGGGGGGCACGGGACTGACATTTTGAGGAGCTCTGCTGAGGGACCAGCAGTATGTTAGGTAGTAACAGACATTGTCTCATCGAACGTTCACAGCCCTCTGAGGTAGATAACATTGTCTTCCCTGCACAGACAGGGAACTCGAGCACAGACATATTGTCAGCAGTGGGGAGAGGAAGGGTAGGGAGCTGACGTGGGATCGTGTGAGGATGATGTTCACTCTGCTTCCCACGGGGCTGGGTAGGGGAGGGTCTCAGCTCTGACAAGAGAGGGAGTTGAGGGAACATACTGACTACCTCCATCCTCAGGCCATTCTCTCTCTTCCGATCTCTGACCTCTCTGAGGCCAGGGGATGAGTTTGGCCTCATTTGGTACCTTGTTCTGAGGGCTCTTCAGACAAACTTGGGGCAGAAGGTATACCACCCCAGGATACCTGTGGCCAGGTCAGCTTCCTCTTGACCAGCCACACCCACATCTGCCCAGCGGCTTACCTGCCTGGCCCTGCTCCTACAGCCCTCCTCTATTAGTGGGGCTCTCCTTTGCAGTGCCTGCCCAGGACCTCAGGGCAGCGGCTACTGCTGGTCTGGACAGGGAAAGACTTCTCATGCTCTGGCTGGCAGATTCTTGGCTCTGAGATATCCCTGGAGGACTCTGGCTTCTTGGTTCGTTCAGCCACCGCAGTGTTAGGAGCCGGAGGGCATGAGAGAGTTGATGGGTATACCAGTTCTCTGTCTCTCACCTGGCTCCCCTGAGGAAATGCAGCTTCTTGGCCAAAAGCTCTTGGGCTTTCGTGGCTTCCTAGATCTTGCCAGGGGTGGGTAAAGGTTTCAGCCTCTCCAGCTACAGGCCAGAGGCTGAGCTGACCTGGCCAAGAGCTAGAGTTTTGGAGTTCCAGCTTCCAGAGGATAAAGTGGGGGAGAAGTAAGAGTTGGAGCTAACTCCATAACCTGAAGCAGAGCCAGTAAACCACCTCACACCTAGCTGGACAGACACCTGCTGGCTTTATTTTGGGAGACAATGTGGCCTCCTCCAGAAGGCCTCTCCAGTGCTCTTGTGGCCAATTCTGGCAAAGAACAAATGGTCTAGACTAGGTGTTGTCAAACTATGGCCCACGGGCTAAATGCTGTCTATTTGTGTAAATCAAATTTTATTGCAACAAACACACACTCATTTGTTTATGTATTGTATAAGGCTGCCTTCACGCTATAGCGGCAGAGACCATATGGCCTGCAAAGCCTAAAATACTGTCTGGTCATTTACAAAAAGTTTACTGACCCCTGCTCTAGACTGCCAAAGATCTGGTCTCCCGTTGCTTTGGTCTCCAAGTTCAGAGAGGCCCCCTGGACTGAGGCCACGAGCCTGGCCCAGATTAGCAGTGCCGTGAAAACAAAATCAGGAAGCAAGGGCAGGGAGATAAACAGCCAGGATGGTTGGGTGCCCCCACAAAGCCAGAAGACCTGCCTGACACATGTGAAAGCAGAGCTGTCTCTGATCCCCTGACCCTCTCCCTTCTCTGGCCTGCTTCCTTAGCTCTCCCCCAACATGGCCAACAAGGGTCCTTCCTATGGCATGAGCCGTGAAGTGCAATCCAAAATTGAGAAGAAGTACGACGAGGAGCTGGAGGAGCGGCTGGTGGAGTGGATCATAGTGCAGTGTGGCCCTGACGTGGGTCGTCCAGACCGTGGGCGCCTGGGCTTCCAGGTCTGGCTGAAGAACGGCGTGGTGAGTGGCACCCTGGGAAGGGGATGGGGCTGTGCCGCCCTGCTGGAGTCGTGGGGGCAGGCACCCCGAGCTGAGTGCCAGGCTGCGTTCATTCTGTGCCTGGCAGATTCTGAGCAAGCTGGTGAACAGTCTGTATCCTGACGGCTCCAAGCCCGTGAAGGTGCCCGAGAACCCACCCTCCATGGTCTTCAAGCAGATGGAGCAGGTGGCTCAGTTCCTGAAGGCAGCTGAGGACTATGGGGTCACCAAGACTGACATGTTCCAGACTGTTGACCTCTTTGAAGGTGCAGAGAGAAAGGGGTGGAGGAGGCAGTGGAGGACGGGAGGCTGAGGCAGGGACGAGGAATGATCAAGGCATGGCATGATGGGTCTGCATGGCAGGGATGGGCCATGCTGGGAGAGTACCACACCACACTCACGAGGGCATGCTGTGGGTCTACTCATGCCTCCTTTGACTCTGGGACAGATTTTGCCCCTGGGTTGGCCATTTTTCTGAGGTGGGGCAGGTCCTGCCTTGGAGTCCTATTACACAGTCCTGTAATTCATCTCCCTCCCCTCTTTCTTCTCACAGGCAAAGACTTGGCAGCAGTGCAGAGGACCCTGATGGCTCTGGGAAGCTTGGCAGTGACCAAGAACGATGGGCATTACCGTGGAGATCCCAACTGGTTTATGAAGTACGTGGCCACTAGGGCACTCTAAGCTTGGCTCTCTGCGTGAGATGGGAGGTGGCCTGGGCTAATCCGTTAGGGCGAGTGATTTGGGGAAGGAGGTAGCCAGGAAGGTACGAGAAGAGGGGGAAAGTGAATGTCTAGGAGAGGGGGAAAGTGGGTCTCTAGTACTTCCTGACTCCTCCCTTTCTACCCTCTTCTGCTCACCGAGTCTCCCTAACCTGTGGGACAAGCTAGATTAATGAACAAGAGAGTGAAACAGGGAGGGAATGGCATCAGGCTAGGAAGGAACAGGAAACAGACAACAGGTGGAAAACACGCAGTCCTGGCAAGTCTTTATCCTGGTTCCTCCTCTTCCAGGAAAGCCCAGGAGCATAAGAGGGAATTCACAGAGAGCCAACTGCAGGAGGGAAAGCATGTCATTGGCCTACAGATGGGCAGCAACAGAGGGGCCTCGCAGGCTGGCATGACAGGCTACGGACGACCTCGGCAGATCATCAGTTAGAGGGGGAGGGCCAGCCCCCAGCCCTGCCCTTCCCCAGCTCATTGGCCGCAGCCATCCCGCCTTGCCTGCCTCACCCACACCTGTGTAGTTCCTTCAGCCCTGGCCAAGCTTCGAGGCTCCGTCACTGAGCAAAGATGACTGCACTTGGGCAGCTCTTTCCACCCCTCAGCCTCAGCCCAACTTCTTACCCCAAAGCACCGCTCGCCTGACCCTCCTCCCAGCTCCCCCCCACCTCTACTGTCTCTGCATCCTGGGCTGAGCAGGGGGAACGTGGGCTGGGGGTGGCCTGGGAGTGGGGCAAGTCCACTGTCCTCCTTGGCAGCAGATGCCCATTGAAGGAGACCCAGCCCAACATCCCCCTACTTTTTGCTGGAATATTTTGGGGGTTGAAATTCAAAAAAGAAAAAAATATATACATCAGTCTTTTCTCAGGCTTGGCTGGCAGAGTTTGATTTGCCCTGGTCACTTCTGTTGTAGTTCCAGGAAATGTGAGCAGGGAAGAGGCGGGCAGCCCAGGTTAACGCGTGCTCCTGGCTGCTGTCCTCTGAACGACCCCGCACAGCCCAGGATTCCAGGGGGTCAGATGCTTTCAGAGGACCAGGTGGGGGAAGAGGAGCGTGAACTCGGGGACTGAAGGGGAAGAGGAGCAACCTGGCACCTCGCATTAGCTTTGGGGAGGCAGAGGAAAGGAGAAAGGAGTGGCAGCATTGTGTGGAAGGCTTTTATTTTGGAAAAGCTGTGCAGAAAAAAATTCAACAAAATGTTGCTGTGAAGAGAGAAAACCAAATCTTAAGCGTTAAAAAAATTCAAATCAACAACTAGCTCAGAAGAGGGGAGGAGGCCAAGAATGGGAGGAAGAGTCAGCCTGTCAGGCAGACAGCTGGCCTCTGGTGGGTGAGGCCATTTCCCTGAGCGCTTTGCAGAGGAAGACAGGGTGGTCGCAGAGCTGGAGCAGCAGTGGCTGACAGCTGTCACAGTCCTGCCGCAGACTCCCCTGGTGAAGCAGCACAGGCCCTAGGAGCCGCGCCCATCCCCAGCTTTGCCGGGAGCATCGTACCGATCCTTCAGGATGAAGGAGGGTGGTGATGGCGAAGGAGTCAGGGGTGTGTTCAAGGTTGGCTTCGGATCAGGGATAATGGAGGGAGCTGCTTTTAGGGCAAGAATTCCGGGCTGAGAGCTGATTGCCATACCAATATGTCCAAGGTCCAAAGCTTAGGCAGGAAGGTGAGGGAGAGAGAAGAAAAGTTTGCTGTTTTTGGGCCCTGGGTCATTAGAAGGACAGGCATAGCCAGGGGCTGTTCCCAGCCTCTACCCCTTAGCCCTCTTCCCAAGCGGCCCCAGTGATGTTTCTGTTGAGATGCTCTTCTGGCTATGGCAGGCACCTTCTCACCTATGCGTGGGTGAGGGTCCCCATGATCCATCCCACTGGCTTGCCCAGGAGAAAGGAGGATGGAGGCTTGCCCAAAGAGGGGAGGCAATCCCTTGTCCAAGACCTTCTCACCAAAAGCTCCTGTTTGGTTGGAGGAAGATCCTGAAGTTGCCACACTGTTCTGTGGCACTGTTGTTCTGCCACTTGCACCTTAAGAAGGCCATTGCCTTCCCTGAGTGTACTCAGAGGGTGCTCTTTAGCCCTCTGGATTCCAGATATAAGCATCAGGACTGCTTTTTTCCCAGAGCTCCCAAGACTTCGGAGCAGTTTTCCAAGCTTCCCCAAATTTGGGAAGGAAGAGCCTGTTCCATGTTGAGTCTGTCAGGCCCTGGGTCAACACATCTGTTCCTCCTTCCCCTGCAACAGGTCTGGGGGTAGGTGCTGATGAGGGCAGTCCAGGGCACTTCTGTTCTGGCACTGGCTCCAGTCCCCTTGATCCAGCAGGTCTGGGGTAAGGAGACCAGAGGTGGTGGGAGGGCCCTCATGCTCTGTCTCCACTCCATCTGGATCCTTGCTGTGGCAAAGTGGCACCGATTCTAGTTCTGTCCCCTCTTCCCTGGCTTTTCGGCTTTGTTGGGGCCAGTGGCAGGGTCCACTCCTACAAATTGGGTGAGAGGCCACATTCTTCTGGCTCAAGTATACTTCCAGCATGTAGTAAATGGTCCAGAAGATGGTAAAACAGCCTACCAGCACCAGGGTCTGGGGAAAAGTCAAACACCTATGTTAGGGACAGTTTCCCAAAGCCTGCAGCCTTTCTCAGCCCAGAACAATGAGCTCAGAAAGTCCCTTTCCTTCTAGGGACTGCCTCTCCCACCCAAACCACTTCCCCAGCACACACAGGAATGCTAAGAGTTAGCCAGTAGACTGGGACCCAGGTCTTCCCAACCCCTCATTCCTCAAGTCACCTTGAGTATCTCACCAAGGACTAAATCCCCCAGGACACTCCTGCCTGCCTGTAGCTTGAGTCTTGGCCCTAGTACCTTGAGGGTGTTAGGGGTGATGGTGTAGCCATCTTCCTCAGGAATTTTCAGCCCAGGGGGGCAGGGCAGAGTGAAGCCATCGTGCAGGTATTTACCACTCATGGCACTTTCCAATAGCCTGTGGAGAAGAAGAGAGAAGAGCACGTCCCACTGAACTTGGTTCCTCTACCACCTGCCCACCCATCCTCCCGCCTTACAGCTGAGGAGAGGGAAGCCTCTCAGAAAAAAGGGGAGGGGCGCACCATGGGTTCCCAGGGAGATGGAGCTCCCTAAGTGGCCTCTTCTCCCACCCCATGAGTTGCCTTCCCTCTGACACATGTAGCAGACCTACCTTTGTCTGTCCCTGATGTCTACCGGACTCCACACAGAGCCATACAGGGTCAGCTGCCATTGCCGGAGGACGCCGGCCTGGAACGTCTCATCCCCTGGAGCGGCAAGCAGGGCAGTCCATGAGCCAGGCCCCTCTGCTGGCCATGCACAGAGCAGGGACCCTGCCCACCCCGCCCCCCAGCGACTGGACCACACGGTCTGCTGCAGTAGTTGTCTGTGTCCCACTGACCCCAGGTGCTGTGGGCGTGCCTCGCAGGGTGCCCTTAGGAGGGAAACGGGGAGGCTGAAAGGTGGCACTTCACAGCACAGACGTTTTGCCTTTATCTCCTTCATATTTCGGGGTTTCATTTGGGGTTTTGCTTGAGAAAAAAAAAATGTCCTCTCCTAAATTAAAGAAAGGTTTGAAAACCATCCATCAAGTGAATACCTAATTTGACTGGAAGTTGGGAGGGTTAGGTTCAATCTCCAGTTTTCTCACTGAAATACTGTGTGACTTTATGCAAGTCACTTCAAACCTCTGGGTGGACCTCAGTTTTTCCAAAAAAATGGTGAAAATTAGTCCTGCCCTTACCTGCCTACCAGGGCTGGCCGAAGGATGGTTATATGTGAAAGGACTTGAAATGTGGTTTCAACAAGGAATTTTTGTTGCTATCCTGAGGAAAAATGGATCAGTCACTTCTCCAAGGAATATGAGAGGTAGTATAAATGCACAATTTTAGATTTCAATGCCCATTTCTTGGCATCTACCTCGTGGTCCAATGGCAACCCTATGTATTCCACATGGGACAATTTTTTGTGGGGGACTCTGAGATGCAGAGGGACCAGATGACAATCATGAAAGGAAGGGCCCTGATGGAAGGGTGGGCAGGCTCACCTACATCCCTGATAACGAGTCTGTAAGTGCCTTTAGCTCTTTCCCCCCAGCATCGCACAGTGGAGAAGGTCCAATCATTGAAGCCGTTGGGATCCCTGGGGAAAGAATGGAGGAGAAAACTTGGAAGGCAGGGAGCAGGGAATGGACTCCTTTGCCCAGAAACATTGTTTTCTTGCTGTAGTGGCCATGAAAAGGTAGCAGTTGTTGCCTGAGCTACAGCCATTGGGGAGGGTGCCATGAAGGGTCCACAAGTGCTGTCTCCTGCCCCTGGGATCTCACAGCGGGATAAGGGCTTGTGTCAATGTGTTGCAGTGGGAAAAGCAAATGGGGAGAGAGCACAGGCTTGGGAGCCCGACAGATCTAGGTTTACTGTTACTTTCTCAGGCACTTACTGGCTCTGTGCCTTGTTTTCTCCTTTGTAGAAGGAACTTACAAAGTCTACTCTGCATGGTTCTTAGAAGGATCAGAGAAAATATATATCAAGTGCAGTGCTTAGCACATTGTAAGCACTTGAACACAGCACATAATAATGGCTTCCAGCTGCCAAGGTCAGCCAGAACCACGGTAGCTTAGCACCCGAGTCCCCTTCTGTATCTTTTCCTTAAAAAGGCCCTTGTTGCAAAGAGAGCTCAGAAGGAATGGGCAGGTGTACGTACGAGTCCATGCTGCGGGGGGCACCAATAAGGGACATCATGCCACTGGGGCAAAACAGCTTCAGTTCCAAGCTGCCACGTCGTGGATGAGTGATGGAGACTGTCACTGCCACATGCTCCAGGGTCTTCAGCCCCGACATCTCCAGGTCCGTCCTGCTGACTGTGGGAAGTCAGGCTGGGCAGCTGGGAAACCAGCCCCATAAACACTTACGCCCTCACTTCATGCCAATATACACAAAGGCACATACCATTGAAGCCACATACAAATACCTATGGCAACCCTAACAGGGACCTAGTGCACACTCGTAAATGGAATGCAGTTGCTGCTTTCAAGGAGTTCACAATCTAGTTAGAGTCTAGTCGGGAAGACAACACATACCCAAGACACAATATCAGATCCAAACAGGGCCGCTTCAATCATTCATTCATCCAAAAACTAATTTCCTGAGTACCTCCTATATTTCAGGCACTGTACTAGACGCTGGGAATATAAAGACTAGTTGGACACGGGCTCTGCCTTCTACCTGCAGGTGGAAAATGATATGGTATGAGGTATACACAACTGATACTAGAACAGAGATGAGTTGGGTGGGCTTAGTCACACAGCAGTGAGACGCACTCTGAAGAAGGAAATGAACAGACTGGTAGAGAGGGTTGGAAGAGGGTATTCTAGATGGGGAAATGGCAAGTTCAAAGGCAGTTGTGGAAATGAACAATGTTCATATTGAAGGCAATACAAAAATTTCTAAAAAACTCCCAAAGTGAATAAACTTCAAGGAAATTATGCTGAATGAAAAAAGTCAACATCAAAAGAATATATAATGCACGATTTCATTTATGCAATATTCACAAATAACGTAACCGCAGTGATGGAGAACAGATCAGTGGTTGCTAGGTGTTGGGGATGGGGCAGAGGGGATGGGTGTGGCCATAAAGGCGTGACACGAAGAGTCTTGTGGGGATGGTATGGTTCTGGATCTTGGTTGTGGTGGTGGTTACGCAAGGTTACACATGTGGTAAAACTGCACAGTCAGACATACAGACACACAAATATGAGTGCATGTCTGTTAAAATCTGAATAAGCCTTATGGATTGTAACAATGTCATTTTCTTGGTTTTGATATTGTACTATAATGGTTTAAGACATTAACATCGGGAGAAGGGTACACAGGACTTCTCTGAACATTTCTTTGTAACCTCCTGTGAATCTACAATTATTTCAAAATAAAAAGTTAAAAAAAACCCACCAAACTACTGAAGTAGAAGACTCAATTGGGGAATATTAAGAAATTAGGTTGCAATGAGAAATGGTTCTCTCTAAAGCACTTTTTCTTCCATTACTTCATTCTAACAGGAAAGGAGCGAACAATGCCTTCATTTTGCAGACGAAGAAGCTCAGAGTGGTGCTGAAAGTAGGGGCAGGGCACCTAGGATGGGAAAGGCTTTACAAATTTTACTTTAAGCAAGCAACTGAGAGCTATTATAGAGTATTGAGCAAGGATGGCGTTAAAAAAAAGTGCTGAAGGAGAGTTACTTTTAACAGCTCTGGGTAGGATGAATTGGAATAGGAAGGAAGAAACAGGTGACAGAAGGCCAGCTAAAATGCCACTGCCTTATTCTCAGGCGAGGCAGTGTGAGTGGGGGTAACTATGATTGAAGAAGAAAGAGAAAAGGAAAGGCACAAGGCTCTCTGTGACACCACTTTCTGTCCTTCCTTGTCCCGGTGCCAAGTGGCCTCCTGCTCGGTCTCCTCTCCCCGCATCCACAGAAGAGTGCCACCCCCATTACCCACAAGGACACCAGCATTCATGAGGACTACCTCTTCGATGTCCTAACTTCCCATTTCTTTACCTCCTCAATTCCAAAGACCTATCTCCATCCCATGTCAGCACTCACTTCCATGACCAGACATTGGACCTTGTCATTATCTGGGACTGCTTCACTTCTGAATGATTTCATAACTTTCATTGAGGGTTTTATTATATAAGCAATGCAAATTAATTGAAGACAAATTAGAAAAGTAGTTGAGCAAAAATGAAAGAAAGAAAGCCCCCACAATTCCTGGTAACGTTGGTAAATATCCACCTAGACCTATCTCTGTGCATGTATGTGTGCAAGTGTCTATTTTCTTTAATTCCATCTGTCAACTCTTCCAAGCCAATGTCCCACCTTCTCTGAAAGCAACCTCCTGTCCTTCCACTTTCCCCACGCCCTTCTTGACCCCTTCACTTTCTTGCTCCTCAAGACGTCCATCAAGCTCCTCCTTCTCACTGGCTAAGACCCCACAGCTCATCTCTCCAACACTCCCTTGTACACTCGCAAGCTCCCTTTGCTTTCCTTTCTTTCACAGTAACTATCTGGCAAAAGTCCAACACTGGATCAGCACAATTATCCATCTTCTTGGCTGGATCCTCTTGCTTACATCTTTCCTACTACAAATGAAAAACAAAAACAAAGAAACCGTTTCTCAACTCTTCACTTCCTTCCACCTACCAGTGTTAACAGCATGGGCCCTGGAGCCATCCAGCCTGGGTTCAAATACCAGCTCTGCCATTTATTAGCTATGACAATTGCATTAGTTTCCTTATCTGTAAAATGGGGATAGTAACAGTACCTACTTCAGAGAGTTGATAGGAGAATTAAATTAGTTACTACACGTAAAATGCTTAGAATAGTACCTAGTAAATATTAAGATTATATAAGCATTAGATATTATTCCTTTTCTTTACTGTTAAACTTCTTAAAAAAGATGTCTATATTCACTCTCTCTACTACTTTTTTTTTTTTTGTGAGGAAGATCAGCCCTGAGCTAACATCCGTGCTAATCCTCCTCTTTTTGCTGAGGAAGACCGGCTCTGAGCTAACATCTATTGCCAATCCTCCTCCTTTTTTTCCCCAAAGCCCCAGTAGATAGTTGTATGTCATAGCCACACATCCTTCTAGTTGCTGTATGTGGGATGCGGCCTCAGCATGGCCGGACAAGCGGTGCGTCGGTGCGCGCCCGGGATCCGAACCTGGGCCGCCAGCAGCGGAGCGCGTGCACTTAACCGCTAAGCCACGGGGCCGGCCCACTCTCTCTTCTTACCCTCCCATTCATCCTTAATATATTTTTTTTCTATCAAAATAGTATAGTATACATGGTTTTAAAAGTAAGTTGGTTTTGGAGTGCTTATAATGTAAATAAGCAATTCCCTACCCTGGTCAGATGGGTCACCACCTTTGTGATCCACTCCCCAGAAGCAAGCACTTTTTATTGCCTTTAGTTGTTTTCTTCCAGAATCTACCTTCATGTTCCTAAATAATAAACATGTATGGCTATTTCATGGTTTATCAATTCTAGACATGATTTATCGACTTCCAATTATAGCAGACAAGGATTTAACACCAGGCCTACACCTTCTCCCTACTTTGCCCTCCTCTCCATCTTCTCAAAAATAATCACAGCACATTTTGATTAGATCAATATTTTGTTTACCCTACAATGACCTTATATTATATGGAATTTAGCCAAGTAGTGTACAATGATTATATTTCATTTTCTGAACAATTTGCTGTTTTCCCCTCGAGTTAATAACTGCCCTATTTTTCGGTTTAACTTAAATTCATGTCCCTATCACTAATTCTTCCCAAACTGCACAAAAGAACCACATAACCTCTCTGAATACTATTTTCTCAAACAAACAAACAAGTCAGGGGCTCCCTTAACACCATTTGCTCCGTGAAGATTCTATCTCTGGAAACTGCCGTCCCATTCCTATCTGCCGCACTGCTCTGAGCTGGACCTTCCTCTACCTCTCACTTGGGGTTTTGCTTCCTTTCTCTCTCGCCCTTCCCTCCCTCCCTGCCTTCCCTTACTGTTTCACAGTAACCTGACTGTTTCACAGAGGACGCCTACATATCAGGGCCTCTGTTTTTTTTTTTTTTGGTGAGGAATATTGGCCCTGAGCTAATATCTGTTGCCAATCTTCCTCTTTCTGCTTGAGGAAGATTGTTGCTGAGCTAACATCTGTGCCCATCTTCCTCTATTTTTCATATGTGGGATGCCGCCACAGCATGGCTTGATGAGCGGTGTGTAGGTTCACGCCCAGGATCCGAACCTGCGATCCCCAGGCCGCGGAAGTGGAGTGCGCGAACTTAACCACTATGCCACCGGGCTGGCCCCTAGTCTCTCTCTCTTTCAATGAGGGGTCATTCCATTTCTCCAGAGAGGATCTTCCAATCTCCTGGCTGCCAGTGCCTTGGGATCTGAGCAGCTGCCTTGGTGGGGTGGGTCTCCCTCTCTCAGAATACTCCCCATCTCTCATTTTCTGCTGTACCTGGGGTCCTTGGCTCTGGAGAATAAATTTCCCAACTCCTGCCCGGATAAGGAAGGGGCCATCACCTGGCTGCTAATGATGGGAGAAGGTACCTGAGAGTCTACCTTTTAATGGATCCCTATTATTAGTCTCATACCTCTCTCTATCTTCTGTAGTACATGGGGCCTCCAAGTCCCGAGCCCTGGTGATTCTGTGGCATGAACGGGCTTGTTTCTTACTACCGCCCCTGCAGGTATCTGGTATGCAAGTTTCTTAGCCTTGCTCACTTCTCCATTCATTTTCTGTCTTCCAAAAATGTGATGAAATCACTCCTTTGCTGTGGTCTCCTCTCTCATTCTCTTTGTCCCTGTGCTTATACCATTTTTATTCCTTTATTCTTATTTTGGTGAGGTTTTGGGACAAAACAGAGATAAAAAGCATGTGTTCAACTGCCATCTTTAGCCAGAAATCTTGTCCCGTCCCTATTAATTATTCAACCACCTGCAATCCAGCTTTTGCCCCTATATATACACTGAAACAATGTATTCTTCTCAAGGTCACCAATGGCCTCTTTGATAAATCCAGTGACGCCCTTCAGTCCTTGTCTACTTGCCCTCTCTCAACGAAACTGTCCTAGATGCCTGCAATTCCATCCTCCTGATTTTGCTCCCACCTCTCAGGCTGTCTCTTCTCAATTTTCTTCAGAGGCTCCTTTCCTCTGTCTACTCCTTTACTGCTAGGCTATGTCCTAGGTCCTCTTTTATCCTTTGTCTACCCACAACCCTGGTGATCTCATTCTTTCCCAGACTTTTTTCTTCTATTTTTATGCTGGTGTCTCCCAAATCATTACCTCTAGTCTAGACCTTCAAACTTATTTATTCAACTGCTTTCTGGATATAACCTTTCGATGCTGCACAGAAGCCTCAAACACAGCACAGCCAAAATTCTCTTCCTCAGTTCTTCATACTCCCTTTGGCCCTTGCCCAAATCTGCTCTTCCTTCTGGGTCCTTAATCTCTTCTGATGGCATCACCATCTAATCAGTTGCCCAAGCTAAAAACTTGGAAATCCTTTTATATGTAAAATATATACAATATTTATTTATATAAATATATACATAATATAATGTATATTTATATGTGCACTTGTATATATAAACTTTTATTATAGAGAACTTCAGACATATAACAGTAGAGAGAACAGATGTTGTCAACACCTAACTTCAATAATTATCAATACATAGCCAATCTTGTTTCGTTGAGGATCCCCTCTTCTTCCCCTTCCCAGATTCTTTTGACAGAATCCCCAGGCATCATATCATCTCATCAGTAAAGATTTCAGTATGTTATCTCTAAAGGATAAGGCCTTGAGAATCTCTTTGACTGCTCTCCTTCTCCCTTACTGCTAACATCAAATGGTGACAATTTATCTTGAATGCTCCAGACAGACTTGCAAGATAAAGTCCAAACTCCTCACCATGGCTCATACGGTTCTATCTGGCCCTGCCAGTTGCAGTTTCAAGTCTTCCTCTGCCCCTCACACCCCATGCTCCAGCCACACCCCATGACTTGCAGCTCCTTGAAGACGCCATCGATTCTGCACGTTGCCCCTGCTGCCTGGATGTCCCTCTCCTCACCTCTTCTCCTGCCTAGCTTATATGGTGAAGCTCAGGTCAGTCACCAGTTTCTTTGAGAAGCTTCTTCTGTCTTCCCTGGTGGCAGGAGGCGTCTCTCCTCTGACACTTGTGTCATGTCGATCACAGTGCTTACAAGACCGTGCTCTACCTCCAGACTGGACTGTCTTCTCTACCAGATTGTGAGCTCTTTGAGGGCAGGAATTGTGTCTTATCTCTGAATCCCTACAACTTAATACAGTATCTGGGAAGAGGTAGGTCTCATATATTTGTAGAATGAATGAGTGAATCAATCAAGAGACATTTCAGAGAAATAAATGAAAAGACTAAATTGCAGGGGAAAGGATAGGGGAAGACCCAGGGAGAGGCAAGGGATATAGAGGGATGGAAAACTCCAGAGTTTCAAGTTTGGAAGCCTAGGGAATAGTAATGGCACTGATATAAATGGGAGAAACGTGGAAGGCAAGCTAGCTTTTGAGAGGTGATAATGAAATTTAAAATTTTGTACATGTTAAATGTAATGTATTGGTGGAATATCCAACAGCACACAACGATTTAGGAATAGGAAGATGAAGGAAAATATTCATGGCATAGTTGGAGGAGAGCATTACCACGGCAGAGACAGGGCCTACAGATAGTAAAGGACATGTTATAGAACATTATACAACAGAATGGAGTCCAGAAAGAGCGCTGTGAGTGTGGGTCTGTGTTAGCACGTGCACACAGCGGCACGCCACGTGCATTTTCTTACTGGTGTGCATAGGGACTCGGTGGCCAAGCATGCGAGAACACTCGAATATCTTACTGGAATTAAATGAGTTAATACGTTAAATGAGTTAATCCTTAGAACAGTGCTTGGCACATAAAAAGCACTCAAGTTTAGTTGATGATGATCATCTTATTATTATTATTTGGCCTTTGGTAAGCTGGAGTCTTTTTCAACTTTTGCCCTCTGGCCAGAAGATTCCAGGGCTTTCTTTGCCCATAATCTTGTGGAAGCTATGAAAATCTCTATCCCTCTCACTGGTAAGGAATCAGAATAAGAGATTTCGATCTAGGAATCATTTGTGGAGAGGCGGTAGCTGAAGCTATAAACACAGCTGCACTGTGAATCATGGACTGAGTCTTAGAAGACACTCGTAGTTTGGGAGTAGTGGAAAAGCAAACAAAGGGAACAAGGACCTCGGGCACAGAAGCCAGAGGTGGTGATGGAGCAAAGGAGGTCACAGAAACTAGAGGAGGAGAAAGGCTGCCCCCAAGCCCTCATTAATAGGGTCAGAGCAACCAGAAGATTGAGAAGGGTGAGCTCTGAACTAGCCCCTGGGTCTGGCCAGGGAAGGGCACTGTGAGTGATGACGGAAGTCTTCAGTGGTAGAGAGAGTGTGTGATAAAAGTGAGCAACTGCTTCAGTTAATTCATTTGAAAAGGTTACAGGTTGAAGGGTGGCAGGGACTTTAATTTCTTTCCTAATAGGTGAACCGCGGATGTTTGAAGGCAGAAGAAAGAATCAGCGGAGAGGGCAAGACTGGGCTGGAGAGGGAAGATGTGGGGAAGCAAAGGAACAGGATCCATCACACAGGCCCGGGGTTGGCCAGCAAGGGTGTAAGGATGCAAGTAAGGATGAAAGGAGAGGTGTTGGGCCGGCCCCGTGGCTTGGTGGTTGAGTGCGCGCGCTCCGATGCTGGCGGCCGGGGTTCGGATCCCGGGTGCGCACCGAGGCACCACTTCTCCGTCCATCCTGAGGCTGAGTCCCACATACAGCAACTAGAAGGATGTGCAGCTATGACATACGACTATCTACTGGGGCTTTGGGGGAAAAAATAAATAAATAAAATCTTTAAAAAAAAAGGAGAGGTGCGAATGGTGTTCAGGAATCTTCTGTAAATACACACAGACTCTCTTGGGTTTCACACACTCCTCCAAACCCCACTTTCCCTCCTCCCCTCTGGTAGAGATTTCAGACCTAAAGGGACTGAGGGGCCCCAATCCCTTCTGTCCCATATCTCCTGCTGATGGGAGAAATCAAAGCCTGTTCTCGAGCTGCATTGCCCAATATGGTAGCCACAAGACACATGTGGCTGTGTAAACTTAACCATAATAAAATTAAAATTTAGCCTGAGTCACACTAGCCACATTTTAAATGTTCAATAGCCTCATACGGGCAGTGGCCACTGAACTGAGCAGCACAGACAGAGAACATTTCCATCATCATAGAAAGTCCAATTGGACACCACTGCTCTGGGATCTTAGTGGTATTTCACCTCCTCTTCTATTGCAGTGATGTCAGCTCCCTCCACCTTAGAAAAAGTTCTCTTTCCAGCCCTCCGACACTGAATCACCCAGGTCTTGGTGGAAGGACTACAGCTTGGCTACAGGGGGAGAGGTTTCTTAACTGTCTAGACTGAGTTGCCCAATTCCGTATTAATTGAACTTCCTTCCTTCTACCTCCAAGAACGCCTACAAGCTTGTACCTCTGTTCTGTCTGCTCAGGGGTCGATGGAGTCAGAACAGAGGGAGGACACCTTTGCTGACTGCAGAAATCAGCAGCGGTCCTGCTTGCAAACCCAACAAGGGCTCCACCAGCAAAACCCCCGGAGTCTTGACCTCCCTCTGCTTCACCCTCCTCTCTCCACTACCCCACCTCCTGCTCTCCTCTGCCCAGGACCCTTCGTCCTTTTTTCTCATGCTTCCTAGTGACAAACAAGCAGTTGCCAGATGTCTCTATACCTAGGAAGTTTGTCAGACATGCTGCGCCAATGTCCCCTGGTCAGTGGGAAGCAAAGGATGACAAAGCTGGAAAGGACCCTAGCCCTCTTCTAAGTCAACCCCTCATCTGGCAGAGGCGACTGTGGGTTACTTTGTTACTGAAATGACAGGAAGCAGTCCTGAGTGGGAGGTATAAATTAAAAGGCACACTATCTCCAAGACACGTGAGTGCAAAGCCCAGGGGTTCTGACCAAATTGCATTCCTGGGAATGTTCCTGCACTTCTCTGCCTTGGCTGATGCTTTATGCCCTTTCCAAGATAGCATTCCTTTTACGGAAAATGCAATGAACTGGGCCCATGGATTTCCTTCCATGTAGAGGGAAATTGGGCAAGTGCTGGAAGTGGTTAGGGAGAGAGACAGCGGAACTCTTCTCAGTGAAACCTCCACCCAAGGGAAGCCGCCCTGCCCCTCCCTTCCAAGCTCCTTTCTTTGCCCATTCCTCCTCTTGTCACTACTCTGGTCTGATCACATCCTAGGAGGCCGGGAAAAGTGAGGACGGAGTTCTGGTTTGGGCATAAAACATGACATGCTTCAATCTTCACAAAAAATATGAATAACTCTGCCTGTCAAAATTCCTCAAGGGAAAAAAAATCCCCCAAGGAGCTGGAGGTAGGGAAAACCCTCACGTGGGAACTCTGGGAAATCTGCAGACAGATGATCCTGTAGCACAAGTATCCCAATCCAGCTTCCCTCCTCTCTGGAAGTGGTTCAACCTCTGCGCTCCACACAAAACCTGCTCTCACTTACAGACCTTCAGACAATCCCAGTGACCCTGGGTGTGATGGAGACGGGGACAGAGGATGGACAACTACAGTCCAGGGAGACGTCCACATTCTCCTCTGTCCCACCCCCAAAAGACCCTATCTGACTCTCTCTATCAGACAAGCCTGAGAATCAAAGGAAGAAATCCCCAACTCCCTTACTTCATCCAAATGCCACTGGGCTGAAGAGAATCGTCTGGGAAGTTCTTAGCATGCAACTCAAAGGAACGTCTTTCAACTCTTGCCGAGTCTCCCCAAGCCCCAGTCCCACTCCTCCCACCAGCCTCTCTAATCTCAGCTGCTCAGCAGCTCCTTTCCTCTACCAGTAACTCAGGAGAATGGTCTTGTTTAAGCAGCCAGGGGACCGGCCAACTCAGAAGCAGCAACATGTCCTAAAATGGTCAAAGAAAACTCCACAGGTTTGGCTGGAGCTCAGCTCCTAAAGGAAGGGGGTAGACTCCCACAGGGAGGGCAGGGAGGACGGGTTTAACTTCCCCATGACCCCGCCCCAAACCTCAGGCCCAAGATTAACCCCCTTTCTGCTGACTACTTACCATTCCACAGGACCTCCAGGGAACGGGGAGACAGCGGAATTGCCTTGTTCTCTTTTAACACGGGGCTGACATAGGAAGCTAAGTAAGGGACAGATGTCCAGATCTATTAAAGGAAGGGGGGATGGCAAGTGAACAAACAAGACCGATCCCACACAGCCCCTCCCGTCTCCCTCATCAACTTGATCCTGAGGGCCCAGCTCTCTTATTTTTCTTCCCGTCACCACCTCCTTTCACTCCTGAGGCTCCTGCTGACACCCTGCAGTGCTCCCTGTGGCACCCAATCAAGGAACCAGAGGAAAAGGCTGTGTCTAGGGTGGGAGATGAGAACCAGAGCACCTCGAGAGCCCCAAGCTAACTCAGGTCCCATTTACTCTCTACCAATACAGCAGTCCCCCTTATCCTCGGGGCATAGCTCCCCAGACCCCCAGTGGATGCCTGAGACTGTGCAGAGTACGGAACCCTATATATACTATGTTTTTTCTTAAACATACATACCTAAGATAAAGTTTAATTTATACATTAGGCACAGTAAGAAATTAACAACAATAACTAATAAAATAGGACAATTATAACAATATACTGTAATAAAAGTTATGTGAATGTGGTCTCTCTCTCTCAAAACGTCTTATTGTAGTGTACTCACTCTTGTGATGATGTGAGATGATAAAGTGCCTATGTGATAAGATGAAGTGAGTGAATGACGTAGGCATTGCGACATAGTGTTAGGCTACTACTGACCTTCTGACAATCTGTCAGAAGGAGGTTATCTGCTTTGGAACAGCGGTTGACCACGGGTAACTGAAACTGCGTGAAGTGAAACTGTGGATAAAGGGGGATTACTGTAGTTTGGAAACTTCAATTATAGTGTTGAGCCTGCGTCTTCATTTGTAAATGAGTATCAGCCAGGATGAGAGTAAATGAAATGGACGAACATTTATTAAGCACCTACGATGTGCCAGGCAACGTTGCTCAGCCCCCTCCCTGGGTCACCCCACATAGGCTCCCTGCCCTGCCAACACCTGTTCACCTTGGCTGCATTAACGAGTCTCCAGGCATTGAGGAGGCCGAATCCATGCTGGTGGCTGTGGCTGAAGCCTGCCTCATTGGTGACCCACTCTGCACGGCGATCCTCATACTGAGAGGACAGAGGTCCTGGTTAGTCTCCTGCATTTCCAAAGTAATCTCAACAACTAACTCTGGTTTCCTGTCTTCCTGCTGGCTGATCCAGTCCAGAGTCTCCCACTGAGGGTACTAGAAACGGACTCCCCAAGGAAAGCTGGGACAAAAGGTCAAAGCTCCACGATGTTACCACCCCAGTGGCCTGCTTCTAGAGAGGGAGCCAGGAGTCACAGGCTCCAGAGTAGGGGAGCCCAGCCAGAGCTCTCCTTTGCCGGTAAAATGGCATCAGCAGAAGAGGTACAAATGAATTTAGGTTTGTGGTCTTGATGGGGTCCCCACACCTGTTCTATACACACCCAACTCTGAAAGAGATTTGGCATCTAATGTTTGGGCATTTAGAACCTGAAGCCTCTTGATACCTGCAAGTCCTTGGAACCAGAACTCTGGGGCCGGCTGGGCCAGGCCATTTGTCCACCTGCTAGGATCTCACCTGGGTGGCTGTGAAGACAATGATGTGCTGGACATCACGCCATGTGAGACAGGGCCGCACCTGCAGCATTAGGGCTATCATGCCAGCTGCCAGAGGGGCTGCGGCTGAGGTCCCTGTGTGGCCCTCAGTACAGCCTGTGCCCTTCTGAAGGTCCCAGTCGGTGGTCACCTGGGCAGTGGAATGGAGGGGAAGGGGACCGCATTAGAGACTGAGTTCAAAGGTGCTGTGGAGGGAGGGGTGTGCGCTGGTCCTCAGAACGAGCCTCTCAGGTGGGCCCTTCCTTTGGGAGAGCTGAATCTTTGACCAGAGGGAGGCCCACCAGCAGGTCAGGACATAGGAGATCCTTCATCCTTTCAGGCCTCACAGAGAATCTCTGGCAAATTGAGAAAAGGAGAAAAATATGAAAGAATTACTTAGGAGGGTCTAGTTGTGGGGGGAAGGAGACGGAGACACGGGAGACGCCCTATGAGCAGAGGACAGTTTCCCGATTCCTGCTCCTCTAATAACCCGTTCCCAAATTCTCCACCCCAGCCCTCCAATCCCTGCAACCATGCTAGACGGAGGAAGTGGCCAGGGGAGCTCCCTGGCCCCAGCTGGAGCTGGGACAACAGTGACGGCACCATTCAAGGAAATCCAACTCGGCAGCTCAGTGATAGGAGCTGGAGTGACATCAGTGTGAACAAAGGGAGTGTGTTCCCAGGGAGAGGGAACTGTCCTTTGCCCACCCCATAGGCTCACCATGGGATTCCTGTCTACACTGCCTGCCCACCCTGGCCTGTGGTGATCGACAGGACAAGCTTCCTCATTGCTCTGGGCCTGGCAGCCCAGTGTAGTTTCCATGGGTGCCCCCACCTACCTGTGGTTCTGAAGTGGAGGGTGGAGGTGGGGGTGGGGGAAGAGGGGAGTCGCCTTGCGGGAGAGATGGCATCTGTGGACATCGAGTTCTTTTCATGCTCTCATCAACCCTGGAGCCACAAAGGGCTTAGGTGAGGAGGGCCCTGCGTAAATCTGCTCCACTCTGTGGCACTTTGGATCTAGCACGTGGTGCCAATATTAAGACCAGAGAATTTTTTCTTCCAAACTTCTCTTCTGGGTCAGATACCAGGGTGCTAACTTCTGCCAAGAGCTGCCCTTTCCCCATTGTACTCACTGCTTCCCTCCCAGCTGTCACAGCAGCTGCCAAGAGATGTAATTTTCACTCAGACACTGTGCGCTCCAGAAGAAAAGGGAAAAAAACTCTCCAAGTTGTAGCCTCAATGAGAGTGGGAAACCTGGTGTGTGCCAGGGAGCAGATTGATTTTTTTCCTGTTAAGGAAACAGCCGCACAGTGACAGCCTAGTGTGCAGCTGTGAGGCCTGTGAACGTGCCTGTCGTGGGAGGAGCACCAGGCAGCAAATGGTGGGCGGCATACGCCTCCACACTCTGCCCTCAGGCAGACAGCTCCACCGAGCTTGTCACTGAACAGAAACTGGCACCAGGAGGTTTCTAAGGCCAGGACATCCCAAAGATGGGAACCTGGCTAAACAGACTCACCTTTCATATCTGGACTAATTACCGTTGAGATGGAAGGTGGGGGTGAGGGTAGGGAGTGGAGCTGAGTTAGGAGGGGAAAGCCAGGCACCGCAGAGCAAGAGTAATAATTATGCTAGGAGCCTTCCTGGTCCCCGGCATGGGCTGAGCTGAGCGGGTTCTGTAGACGTCTGCCAGGGCCTGCAGAACACAGTTATTCCTGCTCCTCCTCCTAACCCAGCCTGGCCTGGGGTGGGCGTCCCCTGCACCCAGACCCCTGCCTGCTGAGCGAAGCCCCTCTTGCCCTTTCACCTTAGTCCACTCCCTTTTCTCTTCTCCCCGGGTGTGAGGAGGGCTGGGGTCAACTGGCACAGAGCCTCGGAACACTGTGTTGACCAGAAGACATTTATTGGCAAAACAAAATTTCAGTTTTGGAAAATGAATTTGAGCCAGCAGGAAGACAAAGCAGACTAATTCCCAAAGGCCCCAGAGAGACCTCTCAAATGAGGCCACCAGAGAAATCTGATACCATCTGGCTGCAGCCCAGCTCTTCCCTGGAGCCCCCGGTCCCCGTCTTACTCTTTTATGGGCAGCAGGGACAGGCAGGGAGCTCTAGGACGATAGTCCAGAGACCTGGCTTGAACCTGCTGGGAGGGAGGTAAGCCAGCCGGGTGCAGGTACCAGACCCTGAATTCTTTACAAGGTTCTCACAGCTTGAGAAGGTCCACTCTCCACTCTAATCTCTTGTTTGCTATGGCTCCCATTCTAGCTCCAAGGAAAGAGCTGTTTCTTGGGCTGATGAAGACACTTCCCTGACTCCTTTTCCCTCCCCACCCACAAAGACAACCACTAGCTTTACTCTTGATGAGGAACATGACCAGAACTCACAGTATTTACATAAGAGCTGAATAGCAATGGAATGATGATGATTATTTTTTTAAGCCCACAGAAATTAGGCAAAGCCCAAATTCTACCAAAGGAATACATTTCAAAGAAGTTCCTCAACCAACGTGATGCTTAATAGTTCTTAAAATTTTAAAGATAAAAACCATTCACACTGATTTATTTAGAGTCCTCAGCTCCGTTCTTCCAACAACGGCATACCCTTAGAGATACAGATCTGCTCGAGAAGAGGCACTTGAGGGACAGGACCGGGAGGCAGGGAACAAACAGAAACACGGTTGTGCTGCCTGACAGAAGTCTTGTGGGACAGGGGCAGGGAGTGGAGGGCTGGGGAGGCACTCACAATGCTCCGGAGCATCTTGTCCCCACCACTGAAGGTGACTGCCAGCATGGAGGCACACTCCTCTGCATAGAAAGGCATCCGTCCCTCCTCATCCACAGCACCTGGGCACAGAGTAGGGAAAAGAACTGGGATACGGGCTTGAGAACATTGAAGTCATCTTTGAGTTATTGTCTGGGAGGCTGTTCTGAGTTTAAAAAATGATCTCAGTGGCCCAAGTGCCTCAGAGTGCCCACACTCCTTGCTGAACGGGCGACCTCAGACGGCAGAGGTATTCTAAGTGCCCTGTTAGAGGTGCCCTAGTCCCATTCTTTCAACTGGCTCCAGGGTAAAACTGGGGGCATTCCACCTCCATCCCCACTCATCCATTCACACATTCACTTTCCTCAACATTTATTAATTATCTACTGGGAGTTACACACTGTGTAAGGCATTGGGGCCAGATGGAAATGGCCACAGTCCTGATCTCAAGGAGCCTATAGTGAGGGAGGAAGTTAGGTAAGCAAATAAATACAACTGGCAAATGGTAGGCTAGGGAGCACAGGTAAAGGGCATTTAATTTAGGTTAGCGGGGTGTCAGGGAGGCTTCAAGCAGGAGGCAAGTGGCCCATGGGGAGACAGGCCGGAGCAGAGGCCTAACCAGTTGCGGTGGGGGTGCAGGCCAGGTGGGTATCTCCAGATGATGGGTGGAAAGTGTTCCCAGGGTATGGTGACTTCTAAGGAAGTCCTGAGATCCTGTGTGAGCAGGGCTAGTCCCTCCTAACTATCTGAGCCCAAAGAGAAGATCATGCTCACATTTAGATAGACAAACGGAAGCCGAGGCATGCCAAGATACACAGTCCCCTCACCAGTGAGTGACACACACCCACACACCCATACACACACCCACACACACACACACACACACACACCGGGTCATTACCTATGGTGACGGTGTAGATGGAGTTGGCATAGCCATCGTAGTTGCAGTTGTCGTTGTGCTGGCCCCCATTGCCACTGGCTACCACAAAGATGCTCCCAAAGCCCTGGCGGCCAGCCATCACCCCATGTTGCAAGGCAGCCTGAGGAGCAAAAACATTGGGGATCAGTTGAGATGCTCATAGAAAGACCTCTACCTTCCATACCAGTTGCCCTCTCCTCCCCTTCTAGAAAGAAGAGGAAAAAAGCCCAAAGGCAGCGGGCATGCAAGAGACCTAATGATGGACTCAAGAAGGGGAGGAGGCTGTTAGTTGAGCAACCATTTGACGGATGTACTCTGCTTATCAGACAGGGTGGGGCCAGAAATGGGGAGCCGAGCACAAAATCAAAGGGAAACCATCTCAAAGCACGGTTCCACTTCTCTCTAAGAACTAGGGTCCCCCACACTCCCCACCTCCAAGTTAGGAGCAGTCTTCTGAGAGGAGGTGGTAGGTCTGCCACTGCAGATGGGGGTGGGATGGGAGAGGGAGCGACTTGTAGTAGTTCTTCTAGGAACTGAATGGTGTCTTAGGTCTCCTAAAGTCTTCATGCAGTTCACAGTTACCTTTCCAAGCTGATGGGGGCCATCCACTGTCTTTCCATCATCATCTGGTCCCCAGCTGTTGAGAAACACCCAGAAGGAAGAGCGAGAGCCAGGCTATGGCTGCCCACCCCGGCCTCCCAGTCCGAGCTGGCCACTCCTCTGCCTGGGCTCTACTCTCCTCCCAAAGGGTCCAGTTCAGGACTCCCATGATTAAAGGACATAGAGTTCAAGGGTCCAGCCCTCACTCCAAAGTGGAAAACAGAAATATGTGCCAAGGTTCTTTTTCTTGGAAACTTTCCCAGTTTAGGACTACTTTAACTTGCCCCTAAAAATCCTTTCTCAGGTCCCAGGGAGCAGGAGACAGTACACAGTGGTAGAGAGGGACAGGGTCTACCCCGTCCTGATCTAGGGATCTAATAGTAGGCTTGACGGCAGAGCACCCATGAAGGAAGTATTCAATCTGTGTAAGTTCTTGGATCTGAGGTGTTCTCTAGTCTTTCTCTAAGAGGAAATGTACATCATGGATGATGTCTTGGATTTGAGGGAGGTGCTGGTTAGGGGGAAGAACAAGTGCCATCAACGTCGTGGGGGCAGCCTAATCTCAGTTCCTCCTTATCCACCCCACCTTAACTGTGAGCTGAAGCTGCAGGCGTATTTTTGTGTGTTGGGTGGTGGGGATTGGTGCTGAGCATTCAGCTCAGCCAAGGTTGGAGAGGAAAGCCCACTTTCTCCCAGAAGCCTTATGAGTTTATTAAACAAATAAACAGACGGCAGGCTGGAGCACTCCTCATGTGGCAACCTGATTACTGGGTGGTATGGGGCTTAAGACTGAGAACCCAGTGGCTGGGGATCTGGAGAAATGAGGGCGATGGACTTATAGGTGGAACCCAGTGAGGAGACCCCTGCTGGGACCTGCCCGGGTCAGCTCACTTTGCTATTCTTGTGTTGGAGGATTCATTCCAGGGGCCCGAGCCTCCTGACCTCTCACCTTGTTCCTGGGTCTGCCTCACCTGCAGCTGTAGATGTCATTGATCTGATAGTGCTTGTTGAACGCCACGGCCTCCATGCTGTCTGTGAGGGGTCCATCCAGTACCCGGATACCTAGGCAGTGAAGGCCACACCAGCTCCTCAATAATTCTGGTCCCCTAATGGGGAACTGGGTGGTGGGGAGCCACATGTGGAGACTTACTTTTCAACCTCTAAGCACTCTTGTATCTTTTGAATTTTTATACCATGTGTATGTAACTGTCCAGAAATATTTTTTAATGTAATGCTAAATCTTAGACTTTTAATCATAGGTGACAATGCAGGTAGCCAAAGTTCCCTTCTTATCTGTATCTTTAATCATGTGAAACACTGGTGTGGTGCCTGACACATAGAAGGTTTTCAATAAATGGTACTCATTACCATTACTACTCCCACGGATGCCTAATTTCACCCTCTAAAATGGGGTGGCTCACATCTGGTGACCATGTAGGACAAATGGAGCCTTCAGAAGGGACTCGGGCCCTGAAGATTTCTGGCTCCTCTGTAGCCTCACTTACAGAGAGGGCTGCTGACCTCTGCTGGAGTGTAAGAGAAATACAGGAAATCTTTTCAGTGTGTAGGGTCCAAGTATATGAGGAATCGTGGGGGGGTGCTTCCCCATTCATTCCCTTCACCTTCTGCCTTGATGGACAAAGACTGAGAGGCAAAGGAGCCACAGAACCACCCCCAGTGGGGGCCCGGGATGCTCAGCTCTCTTGAAAGGATAGAGTACAGACATTGACCATCAGAAGGGCTGGGAACTTGAGAGCTGGGAGATGGAAGAGGAGTCTCCACAGACACATGGGGTCAAGGAAGAAGGGTGGATGAGAAGACAGCTGGTAAATTATGAAAATACAAATCTAACATAAATAAGTAAAAGGAGTTATCATTACAATGAGTTGGGTCATTGATGGGGCATAGTGGTCAGAAAACGGGAAGAGGAGACTGAGCAGGTGGGGCTTGAGGCCTCCACCCCACAGCAAGAGCATTTCCACTTTTATCTGTTTTATATAGTGGGGTTTGCTACTAAAAACATGTTTGAAACACCACTGCACTGAAAAAAATCAACAAACTGATTTGTCCTACAGATGCCTATTATAAGCTTACCCTTTGCTCTGCGCAGTGTGTTGAGGGTGGGTTCAGAATTCAGGGAGGGGGGCAGGGAATCATGACTGTCATCACAGGAGAAGCCTACTGAGGTGAGACCAGAAGGTACCTGCTATGCGGCTCCCATATGCCACTCCCACTGCACAGAAGCTGTTGTTGGGCACAGCGGCGATCTCTCCTGCACATCGCGTGCCGTGGTGGTTGCCATTCTCCACATCCGGGTGGGGCATGGGGTCAGGGTCATTAGAGTTGAGGTCGTAGCTGCCCTCAGGGCTCTGAAACATTGTGGGGATGACATGTAGTCACTCACCTGTTATAAGGGATCAGGTCTTGGAGCTCAAGGAAAGTGGGCAACTGGGAGTTTGGGGCTCCGAGCCAGGGCAGCAGGCCCATCTCTCTCTGCAAACCACACGGGATACAAGAAATGAGAACAGGACACATTGGGGCAAAACGGAGAAGTGCCACAGCTCTCAGCAAACATCTCTCTTGTCCGTTATAGAAACGTGCCCAGGAGCCTGCTCCATGGCTTGGGAAACCTGGGATAGAGAGACTTAGGGGTACCAAAGGCCAGGCTGGAGAGAGAGGAAGGTGCTCAGCACTTGGGTGGAGAGGGAAGTTGCCTTCAGGGGCCACTCCTTACTCCCCACGGCAGGGAGCGGCGACAGGAACCAGGAAGTACCACCTGGGATCCTCTCCTTGCTGAGGCTGGAGCCACTCCCCGTGTCTTAACTGACAGTCTGGAACGCTGGCTGGGGAAAAGGAGAAGATGAACATCATCCCACCTCCCAGGCCCTTTTCTTTGGCCCAATGACTTCTAAGAAGGGGGATAAGCCAGAAGGAATATCAAGAAGGAGGTAAGACATGGGGGTGGGAGGGGTGGTTCCAGGGCCACTCACATAGTTGGGTGCAATGTCCTGGATGGTGTGCTCCACGCCGTCATCCACTACCACCACGGTCACCCCTCGCCCGGTTACATTGCGCTCCCATACACCTGTCACGTTGATGTCCCTGCCAGGGCTCCGCCGGTTATTCTGGAGGAGAGCCAGGGTCAGGAACTGCTCTCAAAGCCTCAAGAATCCAGTGACACACAGCACAGCCCATAGAGAGACAAGCTGCAGCTAGCAGCCCCTTTTCACTCTTGGCCGCCATCAAAGAGCCAGATAGAGGTTGTAGACCAATAGGTCTAGGAGGGGATGGAGCCGAGAAGGGACAAGTGAGAGCTTTGCCACAGCCTAGGTCTCCAGGAAAGTCTGGCATCACTCACAGGCAATAAAGATGGAATGGTGGCTAGGGGTAAGGGTCAGATAATACAATTAATATGCCACATAATATATATTAACGTTATATAACATAATGTTAGTAGTTAACAATTGTAAAGTGTTTACCATGTCTCAGGCACACATATATTAATTCACTTATCCTAACCATAATTCTACAGCGTAGGTACTATTACAATCTCCATTTTACAGAAGGGAAAACTGAGGCACAGAGAGGTTAAGCAGCTTGCCCAAAGGCACATGCTAGTAAGTGGCAGAGCTGGAATTTGAGCCCAGGCAGCCTGGCCCCAGCACCCAGGCCCCAACCGCTGCAGTCCACTGGCTCTCTAGAAGCGAGCACAGGGAAGGTGGAGCCCAGGATGAAACACGCCACCGAGGCCCACAGAAAGGTCTCCTCAGCCAAGGATGGGGACAACTGAAGAGTAATACAGTCAAAAGCCCACTGAGGAACTGGATACCTAGAACCTATCCATCTGAAGCTAAAAACCACAGAGCTGGACTCACCAGGTGCCACTGCTGTGGGTACTTGGGGTCATTGAAGTGGACGCTGCGCTTGGCCCGCTTTAGCAGCCTCTGCTCTGAGTGCCAGCGCACAGCTTCATGCCTGGCTAACACAGCCTCCGCCTGCTGCCGGGCGGCCTCCACCTGCTGCTCCTGCCAGTGCCCAGCCGGCTGGACGAAGAGGTAGTGCCCCTGGAGCTCCCCGATGCGTCCAGCATTCACCAGCCCTGCTGCTTGGGCCAAGGCGTCTGCCTGCTGCTCCAGGGTCTCTTCCTCCCCCTGGCCTTCCGGGCTGTCCAGATGCACGGCCCAGCTTAGCCCCCCTGGACCCTGGGCCCCAGGCCCACCTGTCCCTGCCAGGCCCATGACCCAGGGAACCAGCAAGAAGAGCCCGGCTAACTCAAGCCAGAGGCAGGTGGATAGGCCCAGGGGGGCATCCAAGTGTGGCACTTTCTGCCTCCCCTTCGGCATCAGAGCAGTAGGCTGCAAAGACAAAGGACACCAGAGATAAGAGCTGTTACCTGCAGGAATCTGAGGGGGAGACCGAGCCACTAATGTATTACTCCTGGAACCCCCCCATCTGCTCCATTTAAATTATTAAACATTTGATCCTCTCTTTTTATTCACATGTATCCCTGACCAACAGGGAAAGCCCCCAGGTGGAGTGTGGGCCAGTACTAACCCCAGTGGACACCTCCACAGCACAATGGGCCAATCCCCATCTCACTAGATGATCAAGCAGAATGGCCAGTTGCTAACAGGCACCATGCTGCTCTCTCCCACTGTTGCCATGTAAAGGGCTCAAAAGTCATATCACTCCCGCAAATTACTGGCAGAATCATGACTGTTCTTTAGAAGAGACCCTCCTCCCTTATTTAGAGGGGACATAAACCTCTCCCCAGCTGATTTCTCAGTCCAGTTGTCCTCAGGGCTAACTCCCCCCAGTGGGGCCCCATTCCCACCTGGACTCTGTGTGAGGGTGAGCTCCTGGTCTGGCTAACCACCTCACGCTCATTTTGTGCCAATGGAGAACAGGCATCACTTTCACTGTGAGTAGTGTTGGCTCAGCACAGACTGCAGACCTGTAGGTCCCAAGAAAAGAAAAAATGTGTCCTCCCAAACCCAGTGGAGCAAGCAGAGGCTGGCCAGGAACTCCAGGACCTTCCACCAAAGAAACTGGCCAATGACCAAGGATCATTTCCAGGGATCTCAAACCAAGAGAGAAGAAATGACTGGAATGCAGCGCTCAAGGACTACCTTTAGTCACTGGCTCAGGAGGTTGGCTCGGAAGTGAGGGCTCAGGCTCCAAACCCGGCCCTGGTTTGACAGAAGGGCCAAATCAGAACTGATGGGCAACCGTGGCGACAGGGGCAAGTAAATGGGTGGCAGACATGTGTGTACTTATTGGTGGCTGGGCTCCTTTAGAAGCATCTGCTCTCTACTGGTGTCACCCTGAGGCACGGCTTAGTCCCCACACACATGCCCAAATAGATCCGACTGAAAACATTACAGAAAAATGGGTATTTTACCGAAGTCTCTTTGGAAAGAGAGAAGGGAATTTACACCACCTAACATTTCCCTCCAAAAATCTGCATTCCTCACTTTCTCTCTTTTCCTCTTAGGTTCCCAGGCATATTCCCTCTCAAATTCTTCCCTGCCCTCCAGCAGCCTAGACTGTCACAAGATATTCAGATGTCTTTCCCGGTCTGCATACCTCGTTAAGTAAAAAAAAATCTTGTTAGATAGCCAGAGAGAGTGACCCGTCTAGGCAGGCTCCTTCAGTCTCAGCAGATCCCGCAGATTTCCGGAAGAGAAGAGAAACCTGACCACCACTTCCTCCTTTCCCTTTGGCAGAGAGTACCTTACCCCCACCCGCCCACCCCAGGCTTCTGAGAAAGGAACCTTAAATACCCTTTGAAAGTGGATCTCAACCTCACCCAAGGGCTGGGCGTATCTTTACAGATCTCAGGTGCCAAAGGAGAAGAGGAATCCTATGGGCAGACCAGAGTCTGAGATTCTGCTTCCAAGAGACTGTTCCTCTCGCAGCCTCTACACCCTGCTCCTAGAAACCAAGCTGCGTCCAGGGGTCAGTTTCATTGATTTCCCCCTCCCCCGCCTCGATTGTCCCGTGCATGTGCGCCTCTCCTCAGAGGGACCCACACTACCTGGAATCCAAGACCCTGTTGCCCCGTCTCCCTGGGCACCCGCACGCCAGGACTGAAGGCGCACTCCGGGCAGCTCCCTCATTCTCAGACACCAGCTTCCCCCACTTCTAGGCCACTCGGACTTCCAATGCCCCGCCCCCACCGAGTTCCCAACTCACCGGCCCGGCCGCAGCTGCTGCCGCCGCCTCCCTGCGGAAACTCGCGGCTTCCCGGGAGCCCCAGGAGCCAGTGACAGTAGCATCACTTCCGCCCGGCGGCGCAGCCAATCAGCGGCGGGTCCCCTGGCCGACACGACGGGCCGGGAGCAACCGGCGCTAGGGGGCCGGCTCCCCCGGGCATCCTCCGCCGGGAGAGGAGCGTGCGGGTGTGGTGGTCTTTCCTCGTGGGGCCCCAGCGCCCCGAGTTCTCGGGGCATCTTCTAAAGGAGCCCTCCCCAGGGACCGTCTTCTTCATGGCGTCCTCTGGAGAGGGCATCTCGGTTGCGACCTTTAAAAACACCTCGTTCTTCTTCTCCCTCTGACCGCCATGGCCCCGACTCTCTCTGTAACCTTCCTAGAGGAGCTCCTCCCTCCACCAGGTCTCCTTCCTTCTCGCGGTCACATCTCCTTTCTTCCCTGCGTCCCCGGAGAGTCCACTTGTATCTTAGGGGGCTTCCGCCGCGCCCGCGTCCCCTCGACGGTGCCAGCTCTGGCCGCCAGAGGGCGCCGTCGCGGGCGGCCGGTGCCACCGCGGCCTCTCCTCTCCCGGCCGAGCCTCTCCCCCTCCGCTCGTGCCGCCGGAAGTGGGAGGTGTCGCGCGCGGGCCGGCGCTCGACCCCTCCCCCAGGCTCGGCCGCCCCCTCCCCCCGCTCCGCCCGCTCAGGTGCGTCCCGTCCCTCCCCCCTTCCCTCCCGGGGGCGCGGCGCGGGAGGGGTGTGCTGGGCGGCGCGGGCCGGGGGCTGCGACGCGCGGGGACGGGGTCGAGGTGGGGGGCGTGGAGGGTGCTGTGGGGATGGGAGCGGGGGGTCCTGGCCTAGAAGTGGGACGGGGGCTGGCACCGGAATTGGGGGGCCGAGAGGAAGGTGCGAGGGGGTTCTGGCTGGAGGAAGCGGCCCGCTCCGCTAGTCCCCTGTTGAGGGCGGCCGTGGCCACCGGCGCTGCTTCCCCCCATTGTCCATTCGCGGCCGTGCCCCGTTCTCCCCCGAGGACCCGTCGCTCCCAGCGTCGCCGCCTCGCTGGTGGTCGACGCCGGGGTGCAGTGCGGGGATTCTCTTGGCACATTCGACTTCCTGCCCTCTGTTGCAGCCTCCAGCTAGATGGACCTGCCCCGCTCTCCCTTAGAGTTGCATGTATGACCCGTGCTCTGTGCTTTCGTGCACCGGGCACCAGCGACTCCCGACCCGGGCTCTGTTGGGGCAGGATGTTTGCACCTGAGGGAGCAGTCATGGCGGTTTGGGGCCCATTTTCTCCTCGGAGCGTTGTATCCTGGAGGAGACTGAGGCACAGAGGGTCTCTGGCCTGTGACTGAAGTGTTGACACAGCCTAGCCTCCATCCCTGCCCTCTGCGCTCTTCAAGGTGCAGGAGTATAACTGTGATACTATTAAAATTAAAACAACAATTTAAACCAACCCTATGTTGCGCCTTTCTCCTTCAAATATTCTTTTTTCCCCTTTCTCTTCACCGTAGAGGGCCATGAGTTTGTCTTACAGCATAAAGAATGACCTTTTGATCTAAGAAAGGTGTCTGTCCCGGTTCCCTTACTTGGATTACCCTGTTTTTCAGCTTCTCATTTTCATGCTAGAATAACCCAAATTCTCATACTCTTTGCACCCCTGTAGTAACTGTGAGGAGTCTTTACTTTGCTCAGTCACTGGTTATCAGACTTTTCCCAACTGTGGGGAACATACTGACAGAGTAATAGATACTTGGATTGCTCAGTGTAATACTGCTTTTTCTCTCACACGCAGACACCTCCAAAAAACTTTCCATTAATGGGGAATGCTTTTAATGTAACAGCCATAAAATGATTTAAAAACATAAGATATTATTGATACTAGGCCAAAAAATACATTCTTTATAAATGATATTAGGCAAGGTAGGTATGTGGACCATTTGGAAGATCTCACAGACCAGATTCCACTGTTTTAAATAACTGCATTTCTGCCAAAAGTGAAAATCAAAGCTTTACACAGACTGCTAGATATTTATATGAATATAGTGACTCCTAATTGATATCCGCTGGGACCTATTGCGTGCAATGGCTCTTTTAATACGCTACTACAGAATACTCTTAAGTATTTTCTCCTGGAGCCCAACTTGGTGTTTCTTTCCTGGAACAACTCTGTGTATGGACATTCTGAGGGGGGAAGATACATTTGTTTTAAAATTTTGAAACTTGTAGCCTGTAATTTGTTTCTGAATGTACAGAGCATGATGGCAGCGTCTGAGGTGGCTGGTGTGGTGGCCAATGCCCCCAATCCTCCGGAATCTTCTTCCAGTGTATGTGCTTCCAAATCAGATGAAGGTCTCCCAGATGGTCTAAGGTAACGTGTGGATTCTTGACTGGGAAGATTTCATTTGGGTAATGGGCTTTCGAGAATGGCTTCTTATGGAAATATAGCTGGTCTTTCCTCTTTTTGGCTCTAGTGGCACTGCACTAGATTTAGCTTTTTAACGGTAGGGACTGTCTGATCTAGATTTGTATTTCTGGTACCTATCACAGTGTCTGACACTCAGCAGGCATGCTGAATGTTTGTTGAATAAATAGATTAGAATACAGGGGGTCAAACTCATCCAAAAATGCAAATATTTCCCTACCCTATCCTACATGGACTACATGTTCGTTTAATTGTATGTTTATATATTGTACCTATATATACACGTTTTCTATATTAGATAGATATAGATATACATAGACACATATAAACAAATACACATGTATGTTTATGTGTTTGTATTTCTATATCTAGCTCTCTATAGATAAATAGATAGCTTTATTAATATGGCTTATTGCTTCATGTATGTATTTTGCCTTCCATCTAAACTCTGGAGGGCAGGACTTATAATTACCCAACCTTGCTCTTACAGTGCTTAACACATTGTTATGTACAATGTTGTCCTAAATTGACTATATATTCTACCTTAACTCTTTTCTAGATTACCTAGGACCTAATACAATAGATAATACTGCACTAACAGCTGTATATGTACTATCACATTTAATTCTCACAACAGTCTCAGGAGGTAGGTGCTGATATTATTATTCCCATTTACAGGTGAGGAAACTGAGACCCAGAGAGGTTGGTAGCTTGCCCAAGGTTACTAAGCTAGGTTGGAGTTAGGGTATGAACCCAGGCTTGTCTGACCCTAGAGTACTTAATAAATATATTTGTTTAAAAGAGAAGTTTGTAGTGAATGGATAATGGGGAAAAATGTTAAGTAAGTTTACTATAAGCAAGGATCTTCATTGTATAAATAAAATCAGCTGCATGCTACTAGTGATAATAACAGCGTCTAAGGTCTGTTGAGTGTTTACTATGTGCCAGGCACTGTATTAAGAACTTCGTATGCATTATCTCATATAATCCTCGTGATAATCCTGTTAGATGAGTAAGATTATTTCTCTTTTACTATTGAAGTTAAGTAACTTGCCCAGAATCAAACAACTAGTAAATAGCAGAGTCAGGATTCACACCCAGGTACTGTATATGCCCACCTTTATGACTAAGTGTCGTCCCCCACCCATTAACTCCCAACAAGGAATCAGCTTAGAGTGTTTGTAAAGATTTTCATATCACGAGATGCTCTCTCCATTGTTTTATTTTGAACAGCTGGTACTATTGAGGGAAGAAGGGCACAGTGACCTGAAGCCTCAGACAATGCTAGTTTGAGGTGCTTAAGGGCATCAGTTGACAGAATCAGTTTAAAAAAAAAGAAAGGAAAAAGAAATTTAACACAGTTTTAGTCATTATTCTTGAGTGCAAGACTTACAGTTGTGAATGTTGGATGTCATTGTCAATAGACTTTAAAGATCTCTTAAAAAAGCAGGATGTTAAATGGCTGTGACAAACATTAAAACAACTATCCCAGAGTTATACATGTGTATACCTGTCATCTGGGGTAAAATTTCTACTGACAGCTTCAATTTTGGATTCAAAGTTGCCTGTGCTTCAGACAACTTGAGGTGAAGGTGCTATGCTCTGGAAGACTGTTGAAGAACCTAAAAGGTGGTTCTGGTCAAAGATCTGTATAATGAATTTGAATGAAGATTATTTTTGTGAAACATGAGAGTGGAATAAAAATATTTCTAAATTAGTATTTTCTTTATTAAAATATTATGTGTAACTAAATGAAATATTCTAACTAGCATTAGGCTGTTTCATCTGCATCCTCAAAAGTTACTCAAATTAGCCCTTAAAAATTTTTTGAGTCTTCAGTGTGGTCATTTACTGCAGTCATGTACTGTGTGGTCATGTACCATGTGGTCATTTACTGTAGACTGTCGCCAGAACCAGGTTCTTAACCACCAAGCTATACTCCCTGCATGTGAGATAAAAATCACTGGATAGAAACTAAGTTCCTTTTCATTCTGATAATTTGGGGGGTTTATATAGTCTTGTTTTGTTCCTCTAGTGGTTACGGTAAAAGTATTATATATTCAATCCTCTTTAAGATTGAGTGAAGAGAAAAACTTTTTATTTTATGTTTTTAATAGCCCCAAAGACCCTGCACAGAAGCACAAGAACTCGCCTCTGTCGAGTGTAAGTAACCAAACGATAACCAAGGAGAATAACAGAAATGTCCATTTGGAACACCCAGAGCAGAATCCTGGTTCATCAGCAGGTGACACTTCAACAGCGCACCGGGCGGTTTTAGGAGAAAACTTGATAGCCACAGCCCTTTGTCTTTCTGGCTGTGGGTCTCAGTCTGATTTGAAGGACGTGGCCAGCACAGCAGGAGAGGAGGGGGACACATGCCTCCGGGAGAGCCTCCATCCGGTCACTCGGTCTTTTAAGGCAGGGTGCCATACAAAGCAGCTTGCCTCCGGGAATTGTTCTGAAGAGAAATCCCCACAAGCCTCCATCCTAAAGGAAGGGAGCAGGGACACAGGCTTGGATTTCCCACCTGTAGTGCCTCCAGCAAATGGGGTTGAAGGAGTCAGAGTGGATCAGGATGATGATCAGGATAGCTCTTCCCTGAAGCTTTCTCAGAACATTGCTGTACAGGTCAAGTATCAAGTTTCTACTATTAAAATGGAATTTGGGCTTTTTATTTTATGTTTTTTTGAGAGTAGGAGACGTTTCTTCTTAGTTGGTGGAGAACTATTCTGTCTTGTTTTTTTTTACTGGCGACTATCATGCTACTTGCATACAGTGCTATGCAATGACTTCATTCTGGTGTTCAATAAAGAATACAGCCAGGAGCTAGTGACTAATTGTGGACTAGGAACTTGATGACCTCCGTATAATCTCTTTCACTGAGTGATTGATGAGTATAGGTCATCAGCATTCACATTTCCCATCTTTGTCCTTGCAGGAGGAATCCTTGTTAATTCTCTGACCTTCATCTTAAGAACTGCAGTGTATCCTGCCTTCTAGTGACTGGTGTGCTTTGTCTTAGGAGGAAGGATGGGCACAATAGGTTATAGGGGGCAAAATTCTTTTCTCAGTCTTGAGACTGTCTCTCCATCAGTTGTTGGGTCATTTTTAGGTTATTTTGTGGGATAAATGCTTAATGCAATATGGATGTCAGTGTCTGTCTGCTAGACCTACAGTGCTTGGCTTGCTATGAAACCATTAAGGGCAAAGAGCAAAAAGTTAGTTTCTTAGTTACTTGTGGCAGGTTTCCAGGTGAAAGTACTAGAGTAATTCTGCGTTTTAAAATATTTCTGAACAGTTCTGAATATAATTGTTTCTTTCTTTATAGACTGACTTTAAGACAGCTGACTCAGAGGTGAACACAGATCAAGATATTGAAAAGAATCTGGTAAGTATTTAAAGTGTCATTGTTGATATATGAGAACATTAGTGCAGGTCTGGAGTCATATCATCTCAATTGGAAAAGTTGCAGGAATTTCCTTTATAAAATCCCTGACATGGGCCGGCCCTGTGGCTTAGCGGTTAAGTGCTCGCGCTCCCCTGCTGGTGGCCCAGGTTCAGATCCTGGGCGCGCACTGACGCACCACTTCTCTGGCCATGCTGAGGCCGCATCCCACATAGAGCAACTAGAAGGATGTGCAGCTATGACATACAACTATCTACTGGGACTTTGGGGGAAAAAATAAAATAAATAAAAATTATAAAATCCCTGACAGATGGTCAGCTAACTTCTACTTGATCACTTCCAGGGATGGGAAGCTCACTACTCACAAAGCAGCCTATTACATTTTTAAAATAGCTCTTATTGTTAGATCTTATTCTGAGATGAGGACAGAACCTCTAAAACTCTTGAGCCATGTAGATTAAATCTAAATCCTGTTTTACTTGTTAGCCCTCCATGTATTTGAAGTTTTTTTAGTGCCTCTTCCCCTTACCCCTCAAGTCTGAACCTTTCCAGGTGAAACATCCCTAGATGTTTTAAAATTCTTCTTTTCTTCTCTTGATTTGTTTTTCAGTTTTTCAGTCATCATCCTGGTTACTTTTTCATCTAGACATGTTCCGTCTTATTAATGTTTCTTTTAAAATGTGATTCTGAGAACTAAAGATAGTAATCCAGATACAGTATAATTAATTCACAATACAATGGGACTCTCGTTCTCTCTCATTCTAGACACTGTTTCTTAAGCTTACATTGGCTTATTTGGGCAGTCTCGTCACACCGTTGAGCTTTCAGCCAAACTCCATCAAGTCTTTTTCTCATGTATTATTTAGTTGTATCTTCCCATTTTATTCCTAGGTAATTGGTTTTTAAAACTTAAAGAACTGCACATTTATTTTTGTCAAAATGGTCCCCTTGATCTATTTCTGGCATTTTGTGGCAAAAACTTCTGTCTCTTAAGTGTGTGTATATCTAAATATCTATTTTTCAAGAGGAGGGATAACACTGGGAAAGACACCCTAGGATCAGGAAGAGGTCTTTAGGGTAAAATGTGTTAATTGAGTGGAAAAAGGAGGATAAGTGCTTGTAGCAACCGTTATGCTAAGAAAGTGGATATTTGGTTCAAGTTGAAGAAATTGAGGGACAGAAGGAAACAAGTAAGTTATTGGAGTACATTAATCAGATGAGACCAATAAAAATTTTTAAATAGAGAGTAGCAACTCAGGAGTTATTTATAACAGGCAAGTAAAAAGATCCTTGAGATGAGAGACCTAATGGAGATGTGCAGGTGAAAACCAGGCCAGGAGAAAACCTCCATGGAACGGGGAGGAGTCACCTTTCTTGAGCACGTTCTCTAAACACTTTACATAGAGTATTTATTTTGTCCCCACCATTGTAAGGTGGAGTTCGGATGACTATATGGCAACTTGAAGGGGCCAACTTAAGCTTTAGTATCAGTCAGGAAGCAGATGTGGAAACTGGCAAGCCATTGTGCTGAAAGAATCCCGGGATTGTGTTTTGTTTGGCTGCGTTCTTTTGGGTGGTGGTGTGGCCCACATGCTTTTCAAAAGGCGGTGGAACTAGGCAGATATTAAGCTAAGTGGCAATACAAGAAACTTGGCTCCTGTTTTATTTGCTACCCTTTTCATGCATTTACGGTAATTACCCACTGCCTCGATTTGAAATTATGACTCCTGGTTCTCAGAACCAGTTAGCCACTGAGGAAACAAAGTAACAATGTGTAACAGCCCTTTGGCTTGTTAATATGAGATGAATTGGATCAAGTAATTTACTGTATGCCTTTAAGTTATTCATTTGTATATGCTAATAGTATGTACCTTGAGACTTCTTTCCATGAGACTAGAGTTTTTTTCCTGCATTCCTGTTTCTAAAGCTGCATCAAGGATAGAGAAGGTACCATAAAGATAAAGAAGTAAAGGGAGAGAGCTGTGGTTAAAAAAGAAAAGAATCTTCTGATCTGCTAGTTTCATCTATTGGATTGGTTCTTAACCTTTCTTTAACTTTTCTTGGGTTAAGGTCCTCTTTCAGAATCTTTTGAAAACTTTGAATTCTCATCTCAGAAAAATTTATATACATACACACCAATTTCAGAGAGTTCAAAGATCTTTGAGGCCTATCCATATACCCCTTGTTCAGAATCCTTATAGAGATGTGATGCTGAGGAGTCATCTGTTTGGGAAGCCTTAGTCATATTTCATTATATGGACTAAGGACTAGCTTATCCCAAAGCTAAAGTCCTATCTTGAGAGTTTATTTTTTATCATAATGTGATAAATTTTCCCCCACTTATCCCCACCTTTCCCCCACTTATAATTATTTTTATTTGGAAATAATTATCTTTTAATGAACAAATTCAGTTTAATGCTCTCAGTTTAAATTTCACGGGGGCTGACTTACACCAAATGTGTTTTAAATTGACCCTCTTTAAATCTTAGTGTCGCTTTGAAAGGTAACCATTGCTTTTCTTGATGTGCTAATATGGGGGAGGCAGAACTGAACTGTGGTCCTCAGAACCCTTACTTTTACTCCCTACTTTATATGAGAGCTTGCCGATTTGCCTGATCTGAATGCCAAGTTCTCCAGACCTCTTTAGTGGAGGTATCAATTTTCAGTGCTAATGACCAGTAAGGAATCCTGTTTCTGGATGCATTTTGAGTAGGTGATCTGTTGTTTGTGTTTGCCCATTCTTTGTTTCTCTTTCTTAATGGGTAATAAAATGCCTCCTTCCTCTTATTCCCTAGAGCAGGGATTGGCAAATGTTTTCTGTAAAGGGTCAGATAGTAAAAACCTGAGATTTTTTGGGCTACGTGGGGCTCTACTGTAACCATTTCACTCTGCTGTTGTATTGTGAAAGCAGCCTGTAAGCCATTGGGTATGGCTGTGTTCCTGTAAAACTTATTTATAAAAACAGGTGATGGCTGGATTTGGCACACAGGCCGCAGGTTGCTAGCCCACAGCTTAGAGCGGTGTTGTACAATAGAACCTCCTGTAATGATGGAAGTGTTCTGTATCTGTGCTGTCTAATATGGTAGCCACTAGTCACATGTGGCTACTAAGTACTTGGAATGTGGCTAGGTGACAGGGGAGCCAGATTTTTAAGTTTTCTTATTTTAATTAACTTGAATTTACACAGCCACATATGGCTAGTAGCTATAGTATTGGACACTGCAGCCATAGAACTCTGCACAATGCAGAGTTTTGAACAGGCGCATGGTGAAAGATTCTTGCAATTAAATTAGGGAATTAAACTATTCTTCTGTTGTTACCAATAGGATAAAATGATGACAGAGAGAACCCTGTTGAAGGAGCGTTATCAGGAGGTCCTGGACAAGCAGAGGCAAGTGGAGAATCAGCTCCAAGTGCAATTAAAGCAACTTCAGCAAAGGAGAGAAGAAGAAATGAAGAATCACCAGGTATTCTGCTTATATTAAAATTGTCAGTAAATAAAGCTGCATTGCCTGATCAAACTTTACTTTTGTTTCTGAGTTAATAGAAATAGAAAAGCATTATTTAACTCTTTAATGGTTATTGTAGAATTTTAAGGATAAAAAGAACCTTTGAGGGCATCTTCTTCAAACTCTCACTCTTACTTTAGTTCAGAGAGAAAAGGATTATTTATTTAATATATTTTGTTGACATGATTGACTGTCTACCTGGAAAATCATTTGATTAGACTCTTGTCTTACATTATATTAAAAAATACAATTCTAAGTAGATTAAAAGTCAACATATCAAAACCAGAAAAAAATTTCAAATTAGAAAAGAACTTAGGAGAATATTTATAAAACCTCAAGTTGCAAGAAGTCATTGTAACCCAGGCAAAAAACCCATAAGCTGTAAAAAAAAATTAATTAATTTAATTACATGTAACAAAAAGTTTTGATATGGTAAGTGATACAAAAACCAGTCAAAAGTTCAATATTAGACTGAGAGAAAATATTTATAGCACATCTGATGAAGGGTTTAATATCCATGACATTCTGAGATTCCTACAAATTCATGGTAAAAGTCAAACAGTCTAGAGAAAAACCAGAAAAGGTTATTGTATTAATTTTGCATTATTGCTGTAACAAATTACCATGGATTTAGTGGATTAAAACAGCACAAATTTATCATCTTACAGTTCTCTAGGTCGGAAGTCCAACATGCCGCATTCCTTTCTGGGGGCTCCAGGGGAGAGTGTGTTTTTCTGCATTTCCAGCTTCTAGAGGCTGCTTGCATTCCTTAACTTGTGGCCCCCTTCTCCATCTTCAAAGCCAGCAACATTGCATCTCTCTAATTAAGCTCTAACTTAATTACAGCTTCCTCTGATCACAATTGGGAAGGGTTCTCCACTCTTAAAGACCTGTGTTGTGATTAGATGGGCCCATCCAGATAATCCAGGATTACCTCCCTATCTCAAGATCCTTACCTATAGTACATCTGCAAAGTCCCTTTTGCTGTGGAAGGTAACATACATTAGTCATAAACAGTTATTCAAAGAAGAGGAAAAGCAAATGAGTAATAAATATATGAAAATAAGCTCAGCCTCACTAGTGTTCATTCATTCATTCAGTAAGTTTTGAGTTCCTGATCTAGGCTCTGAAGATTTAGTGGTGAACAAAACATGACCTCTGCCTTCACTGAATGCTTATTCTAGTTGGAGGAGACAGGCAGTAAAAACAGTAAACAATGGGAGGTAGGGAAATGCTCATTAAAATTATTAGATACCAGGGGGGTGGGCACAAGGGGTGAAGGGACACATTTATGTGGTGACTGACAAATAATAATGTACAACTGGAATTTCACAATGTTATAAACTATTATGACATCAATAAAAATAAATAAATAAAATTATTAGATAACCATTTCTCCCTCTCCCCAAGAGATTGGTAGAAATGAAATAAGTTGTCAAGGGTGAGGAAAGGGTGCCAGCCCGGAGGTGCAGTGGTTAGGTGCGTGCGCTCTGCTTTGGCGGCCCGGTGTTTGCAGGTTCGGATCCCCGGTGCGCACCAATGCACTGCTTGTCAGGGCATGCTGTGGCAACTTCCCATATGAAGTAGAAGAGGATGGGCATGGATGTTAGCTCAGGGCCAATCTTCCTTAGCAGAAAAGAGGAGGATTGGCACTGGAGGTTAGCTCAGGGCTGATCTTCTTCACAAAAATAAAAGGGTGAGGAAAAACGAGCTCTTTTTAGACATTGGTAGGGGTGCAAATTGTTACCACTTTTTTGGAAAAGTTACGGGGAATGGTCAGTTAAAATTTAAAATGTACATATACAGCCATGTGCCACATAATGACGTTTTGGTCAACGATGAACCGCATATACAATGGTGGTCGCATAAGATTAGTACCATATAGCGTGGGTCTGTAGTAGGCTATACCGTTTAGGTTTGTGTAAGTACGCTCTATGATGTTCGCACAACGACGAAATCACCCAATGACGCATTTCTCAGAACGTATCCCCATTGTTAAGCGACACATGACTGTACTTTGACCTAGAGTCTCATTATTAGGAGTCTATTCTATAGAAGTAGAAGTTTTTGCATGAAAGTGTAGACATATGGAGTGTTTACTGCAATATTGTTTGTAATTACAAAAAAACTAGTATCAGCCTGATGGACTTTTAACAGAGAATGGTTGGATGAATTGGATCTATACATATTATGCAGCTATTTTTGAGTTTGATCTATATTTATTGACAGTATGTTCATGTCAAGTGGAAAAAGCAAGATGCAGAATAATGTATATAAAATGACCTCATAAAACAAAAAAGCAAAGAAATACATACGTAAATATACATGTAGTTGTGTGAGAATGGAGAAAGATGTGAAAGCATAGTACAAAACAGTTAACACATTTCTTACTTTATGGGTGGAATTGGTGTGAATTAGGCGATGACTTAACTTTATCACTTTTTTTCTTTTAGAAAGATTGGCCCCGTGCTAACATCTGTTGCCAATCTTCTGCTTCTTTTCTTTTCCTCCCCAAAGCCCCAGTACATAGTTGTATATCATAGTTGTAGAGTTGTAGCTCTTCTATGTGAGATGCCACCCCAGCATGGCTTGATGAGCAGTGAGTAAGTCCACGCCCAGGATCCGAACTGGCGAATTCTGGGCCGCCGAAGTGGAATGTGCGAACTTAACCGCTACATCACTGGGCCGGCCCCAACTTGATCACTTTTTTATTGTTTGACTTCTTATTACAAATACGTATATTTTTTGTTAAATAATAAAAAAAGAAAGAAAATAACCTTGCACATCATAAAGTGGAACCATAACAAAACAAAACAAGACCATATTTGTTGGGGGTAACAAACTCCCACCTTGTGCAAGAATGCCTTTCTCAGCATTCTTGACAGGTGTTCCTTCAGCCTTTATTTGAACAAAAGAAATGGAGAGTTTATTGCTTCACAAGGGAGTAAATTCCATTTTTGAACAGTTGTGGTTGTTAGAAATTCTTTCTCCTGTTGAATTGAAATCTGCTTCATTGTAATTTTCTCTCTTACATCTAAATACTGGCTTTTGGAACTACTCGTCAGTCAGATAATTTCAGTTCAATTTGAATTCACTAAAGTTATCGTGTTAATTTGTGATAGTTGAAAATGACCTTCAGACCAAAAGATCTAATTCATTTCCTTCTTTATTTGTGCGTGACTTTAATTGTGTGGGACTCAGGAGATATTAAAGGCTATCCAGGATGTAACAATAAAGCGAGAAGAAACAAAGAAGAAGATAGAGAAAGAAAAGAAGGAGTTTTTGCAGAAGGAGCAGGATCTGAAAGCTGAGATTGAGAAGCTTTGTGAGAAGGGCAGAAGGTAAATGATGCTGTTAAGAACAAAAACCCTGTGTATGTTTGTGCATAAGGGCCGGTCCTGTTTGTGTTTCTGGTTTCTTTTCTTTTGGTCTAATTTTTTATTTGAAAAACAAGCACACAAATAAAAATCCTCCAGTGATTTTAGCTTTTTCAGCACCCGGTATTAGATTTAATTAAAAGAGTTTTAGAGATTCATTAATACCTTAAAATAATAGCAGCTAAGTGTTGGGTCCCAAGTATGATCAAGATTTTGATCTAACAGCTATTTTGCTTGCTTTATCTGATGTTTTACCAGTTCAGGCTATGAGAATACTTTGATTATATTTATTCTATTCAGCACCAAAGCGAATTCAAACAGGAACATTGTAAGCTGTTTGGAAAGAATAATTTAGTGGATCTGTGTCCTCTTCTGGGTACTGCAGCAAGACCCAGGTGGGCATAGAATTTGTTCAGATTTTCAAGTTTCCAAATTTCTTAATATGACCTATTTGGAAATCAGAATAGCTGTGAATACTGTGATAATTTTATTTAAGTTCTACTAAAATTCATTTTTATTCATCAGGAAAATCTTGGCTTGCTGTTGTGTCAGAGAACTAAGTGAAAAGTAGCAAGCTCATTTGCTGAATTATTTTGCAAGTATGACAGATGATAACTGTGAAAGGTCAACGTAAGAAAGAATGTTTGAGGAAGGGCCTAAAGACCAGTCACTTATTTTGTTGAGAATCTCATGATAGTGATTAGAAGATGAGTCAGTTGTCCACCGTGATCCATATGCCCGCAGTGAAGAAGAGTGTAGTAGGAGCAGAACACTGTACCAGGCATTGTTAGCAATCAAGACAGCTACACCACCACTCAACAGTGGCCTCTGCCATCATCTTCACAATCGGTGTGGGGAAGAGGAAGCATAGACATGTGTGTGTAAGCAACTTAGCAGCAGATATCTTAAAGAGCAGAAGTTGAGCAGGTGAGTCTGTAATGTTATTCTAAGCTCCATGAAAGATTTCCTTTTGATCTGCGCTCTTTACACTCTATGTATCTCTATCTTCTTTACCATCTGGTTGGATAGCTACGAATGGTGATTGATACTAACAATTTGCTCCTTGTATTCTTGAAGATCCGATTGGTTTTTTTATGTATGTCATGAGTGTCAGAATGATGCTTTCTGTCATTCTTTCTGTTAACTGTGGGATTCTGTTAAATTTTTCCAGAAGTGGGAGGAAGAAGTCTACTGTGTGTATCTTTGTTCTAGCAGTGGTATAGGTTTTGTTTAGCTTCCGTTATTCATAGGAACTGTGGACATGAAGATTTTGGTCATTGTATTAATATGCTTGGGCTGCTATAACAATATCACAGGCTTAACAGAATATCAGTGGCTTAAACAACAGAAATTTATTTTCTCATCGTTCTAGAGGCTAGAAGTCCAAGATCAAGACACATGCAGGGTTGGTTTCTGGTGAGGCCTCTTCCTGGCATGCATACATAATTGCCTTCTTGCTGCCTCACATGGCCTTTCCTCTGCATGCACACTCCTGGGTGTCTCTCCTCTTCCTGTAAGGACACCTATTGGGTTAGAGTCCCATCTTTATGACCTCATTTAACTTTAATGAACCCCCTTATAGGTCCTATCTCCGAAATATAGTCACACTGAGGGTTAGGGTTTCAACATACGAGTTTTGAGGGGACACAGTTCAGTCCATAACAGTCATATTTCTGGTTCATAGCTCTTTCTTTCCTTCATTCACCAACACGTATTGAGTATCTATGATAAGCCAGACAATAGGGGTCTGGAAAATAAAAATTCCTCAAGGAGCTTATTGTTTAATAGGGGAGGTAGATAAATAAACACATAATTACAAAATAGCATAGTGATACCGTGATAGTGGTGGTATGAAAACATATAGAAGAGGCATGTATCCCAGACTGGGTAGGGGGAGTCAGAGAGGGCTTCACAGAGGAAATGATTCCAGAATTGAGTCCTAAAAGATAAGGGGGAACGTGACCACCAAGCACAATGCATGATCCTTGGTTTGCTCTTGGGTTAAACAAACTATAAAGGATATTTTGGAATAATTGGGAAAATTCGAATATGGAATACATATTAGGAAATACTGTATCTACGTTAAATATTTTGGATGTGATTATGGTATTGTGTGATTATGTATAAGGTTGTTTTTGTTCTTAAGAGAGAGTTGCTGAAGTTTTAGGGGTTAAGTGTCATGATGTCTGTAACTTTCGGATGGTTCAGAGAGGTAGATGTGATGAAAAAGTGTAATAACTGGTGGATCTAGATGAAGGGCATATGTTCATTGTACATTCTATTAACTTTTCTCTTGGTTTTAAACTTGCAAAGAAAAAGTTGCAGGAGTCAGAATAGATATAGGGAGGAATTAGCCAGGCAAAGAATAGGGAGAAAGCCATTGCAGGCAGGCTACAGAGGAGAGAGAATAGCAACTGAGATGTGAGGTGGAGAGGAATGAGGCTAGTGACGTAGTCAGAAGCCAGATCACAAAAGGCTCATTTACTGCGTTAAGGAGTTTGGGTTTATTCTTTGATAGTGAGAGATACTGAAGGATTTTAAGGGAGGGCAGTATCAAAGGATGAGATCTGCATTAGGTAGATGACTTTGGCAGTTGGAAAATGGATTGGAGTAGTGTAGAGGACCAGTTAGGAGACTTACCTGTCAGAGCCTGCGTTAGAATAATGGTGAGCAAAACTAAAGTGGCATCCATGGGGAGAAATGAACGTGTGTGTAAGATATTAGAGGCAGCACTGGTAGGTGGGCAGGGCAGAGTTAGAGTAACTCCCATATTTCTGGCTTGGGAAATAATGGGGTTCTTTTATAAGATGTCTTATCCATTTTACTCCTCTTACAAGTTTCAACTTCAATTCTACCTCCTTTGTGAAATCTTCCTCAGCCATTTCTTCCTGAACTAATTTCTCCCTCAGAATACTTGTACAGCATTCTTCCCATTTAGCACTTATTTTTATATTATACTCTACATTTTTTTCCAGCTGTGTATGTCTTGGCTGACCATTTATGTTGTAAGCCTCTTGAGGAAAAGACGAGACTCGCTCTCTGTGTATATGTATTTTCTAAAAATTTTCTATTCTTTTGTGTTCTTTTACAACACTAACACTTAGTTCAGTGCTATGTATCTGGTAATTATTTGACAAGTATTTGTTGAATCACTGGGTAGAAAATTAAGAGAATTTCACATTGCATACACTTAATAGAAATCTGCTAAGTGCTTTCTACAGTCCTCCCTTGGTATCCGTGGGGGATTGGTTTCAGTACCCTTGTGGATACCAAAATACACAGATGCTCAAGTCCCTGATATAAAATGGCATAGTATTTGTGTATAAATAACCTATGCACATCCTCTCGTGTACTTTAAATCATCTTTAGATTACTTATAATACCTAAAACTATGTAAATACTATGTAAATAGTTGTTATGCTGTATTGTTTAGGGAATGATGACAAGACAGAGTCTGTACACATTCAGTACAGACACAACCATCGTAGGCCTTTTGGTCTGTGGGGTTGGTTGAACCTGCAGAAGCAGAACCGTGGATACAGAGGGCTGACTGTACTATTTGGAGGTAGTCACTATGTGTTTTAAAGAGGACATCCTGAATTGACGCCACAAAAGACCAAATATTCAGTTTAGTCATGTATTTGATTTTTTTCCCCTTGGACACCTGGCTGCTTTGTCATGGACGTTGTCTTGCTTTTGTGAGGATACTTTCTGCTTCCCAGCTTGCATCCTTCAAGATTGTTGCTGGCATTAGAAAGATGAGGCTTCCATGCTGGTGTTTGCAGCCATATGACCTCCCTATTCTTCTTATGCCTGGGCTGCTGAGTGCTACTGCGGAAAATCTACAGCTGTGTGTCTTGGGGCCAGAATAAATTTATGACTTCCAACATCACCTGGATCCTCAGGGCTCCTGCTCCCTCTGAGGGCTGTCCTAAGCTTTTACTTCTCTTTCTAAACTTTCTGTCTCCACCATTTCTCCCCTTAGTCTTAGCAGATGATCTCGCCTCTTATTTTGCTGAAAAAATAGAGGACATCAAGTAAAACTTCCTTCAGTTTCCTAACCATCAGCAGATGCATCCATCCTTTCTTCCTATCCTTGTATCTGAGTCTAAACTTTCTCCTCTGTGTGAATCCCATTCCCTCTTGCTTCTACCACTGCTCCATAAGTGGCACCACTCTCTCCCCCAGTGCCTAAGCCGAATAACTGGGAGTCATTCTAAATTCCTCTCTCTTAGCCCCTCTCCACCACATCTACTTTTACCAAGTTCTGTAGATTCTTATTTATCCCTTTCTCTCCATTCACTCTGCCACTGTCTTAGTTTAGGTTCTCATCAGTTCTCCCAGATTTCTGAGGTAGGCTACTAAACTTTCTTTGCCTCCGGTTTGCCTCCCTTCCCATTTGTCTAGTACACTGCTACCATAGAAATCTTTCTCAGCTACAAATCTGATAATATCATTTCTCTGCTTAAAATCCTTCATAGTTCTATGTAGTTTTTAGGGTAAAGTTTAAACTCTTTAGCTTAGTATAAGGGGCCCTCAATTATCTAGTCCCTGCTTATGTCCCTAGCTGTATCTTTACCCCTACCCCAAGCCACCATGCTGGTTTATACCTAACTACTGCATGTAATATCCTGAACTCACTGAAAACTCAGCATGTATCATCTACTTTAGAAAGCCTTCCCAGATACTCCCCTTCTTCCCCCCTTCACACACCCTGACCATTTAATTTAGATGACCCTCCTGCGTACTCACCTAGCATAGTGTGTATACCTCTGTCGTAACACTTACCTCTGATGGTCTTTTTTTTTTTTACTTGACTGCTTCCCGCATTATATAGTTAGCTTCTTGAGGGCAAATATTTTGATTATCTATCGCTATGTAAAATAAAACACTGTCGGGCCGGCCCTGTGGCTTAGCGGTTAAGTGCGCACGCTCCGCTGCTGGCGGCCCGGGTTCAGATCCTG